GCACAACACAGGAAATGTGAAGATCATTTGTACAAAGATATACAATGCAAACCATATACAGTTTCAATTGTACAGTACTTGTACTGTACAGAACATGTACCGTATAATGAACCTTCCAATCCCAGTGTACAGTATACTGTTGTGGACCTGATACTGATTAAAGTTAAATCCAGATTTCTAACAAAAAACTTACCTTGCTTTTTAAATATTCCGTAGGCTTCTTATAGCGAATGATACAACAAAAGTTTCTGCCTATTTAGACAATAATAATTATATGTAGATGTAAATAATATGCACATATATATGAAACACATTTTTAACTTACCTTTTTGAATTAAGGGCTGGTCTTGGTAACCCAGAGGCTGCATCGTGGCTATAGTATAATTCAAGTCATGCTGGCATTCTGAACTATGTTTGAATTCATCAATGCTCATGACTCCCGCCATCACTGGCTTCCCTTCTCATGCTCACGCGTCGACAATTCGGCCTTCTTATCCATGGTAAGGAGCTTCCTTTTGCCAGTGTCTGGTGTATCCATTCTACTCTTGCCAGATGCTACGACGCCTTCAACCCGCAAGACAATGATATACTGGGCAGAACCAAGAGGAAAGGTTGTGCTCGAGTGCTGGGGTCATTCCCTCCCACAAGACCGCGCACATGGCTAGGGCGATCGACGCTCTCGCCACAGATTTCAACGCCAAAGAAAATATGTCACATAAAAACCTTTTTCCCTACAATTTACAGTTCAGTACAAGCTTATTAAAATATTTATAAAATATAAATGCATTATTTCAAATTATATTTACAGTTTGAAAAAGCAAGACAAAAAAATGGCTGGAGGCGACGCTCTCGCCACAGAAAAAATGTCATATAAAAACCTTTTTCCCTACAATTTACAGTTCAGTACAAGCTTATTAAAATATTTATAAAATATAAATGCATTATTTCAAATTATATTTACAGTTTGAAAAAGCAAGACAAAAAAAATTACAATGATGGAAATCATTTACGTAACAATCGGTAATCCAGATTTCACAGCCTAGCCGTCTGGAATTGTAATTTATTTCCCACAAATCTAAATTTCAGAGGGCAGATCCGGTTCATGGATTTGATAAAATATTTTCAGGTCCTGCTGATTTTGGAGGATACACTGTACACGTTTTATTTTATTTATCGTTTTTCAAGTATTCCACAAAAAATATGATGCATTCATTTTTATTGAAAGGATACACAAAACATTCTTCTCAATAACATACTATATTAATCTTTGGTTACAAGACATTGACAATATACTACCTCCAAAAATATTCAACTTAATGATAATTTAATTATCAAAATACCTTTCAAGGCTTGCTAAATATTTGAACAATATAAATCATGTAAATAAAATACAACAAAGTAATACAGAAAGTTTTCAGGGATTAAAATATATATATTTTTATAGAGAAAGCTGTACTTCTCTAATCGTACCAATATAATTTCACCTTAGTATTCCGATGACGGTAAAATGCACAATCCGTACTTTGACATTAATGTTACGATGACGCTAAAAAGTATTACCCATTCTCGGAATTTCCAAAAACAATTTCCTTACCAAAAATCCTATTAGCACTTACAAGACAAAATTCTTGAAATATATAAGGAGAGGGAGGCCACAGCTCATCAGGGAACCAAACAAAGACTACCACCTCTCTTGAGAGACCTATCACACAAGATGATGATTGCTCTGCCCATGCTTGTTATTTTTTTATTTGCTTCGAAAATTACCTGACGGGGAAAGTATGAAAGCTATGTATATTTTCCTATTTTACAGCTACGTAGGGATCAAGTGTGCACATTTTTCAGATTTTTTACTTTGATAAATGACTGTGATGTATCCAAGGGTGCAATGCCATTTTTTGGGGCGAAGGGTGTAAAGCGAGAGCGAGCGCAAGGCAATAGGCGTTTCTCTACATTGTAAAGTGAGGGGTGCATGGCTCGGCGGGCTATTTAAGCCGGTCGCATAATCTTCATCAATTAATTGACGCCAGGCTCGCTCACTCGTCACGTGAGTCCACGCAAAGTGTTCGTCAAAGATGAATGAACAAAGCATTCATTTGTCAGAAAGTTCTCACCAAATTGACTGGGAGAGGGCTTCTTCAATAACCAATTGTAAAATCATTTTCAATAGGGACATTATTGAATCTACTTTAATACAAATTACAAAATCATGTAATTTAAACGCTGGCAGTAGTTTGCATAATTTAAGATACATTTTTGATTGATCAGTTAAAGGCAATTTGAGTAGGATACTTGATATACATTTATCTCGCTAATTAATTGAATTAGTTTCCTTATTAATACTTTACATTTAATTAATACCTTATTAATATCCCATTGTCTCATGAAAGCCACTGCAACTCACCTCACCTCTTTCCTGCCTATATATCCTACCCACTAAACTATAAATCTATTCTTCTGAAGATCTGAAGATGTATTATTAAATACGAAAGTACTTAAGGAAATTCCTGTCTTAATCCTCCTTCGTGGTCTGACACTGTCAAGATTTTTGTATTATATATATATATATATATATATATATATATATATATATATATATATATATATATATATATATATATATATATACTGTACATAAATATATGAAGGAGCTAGGTTCCAAGCTAATTGAAACAACTAGACGCCCTAGAGCTGCCAGTTTCCTCTTTCAGCGCCTTAGTGTGGCAATCCAGAGAGGAAATGCTCACTGCATCCATGGTTTCTGTCTGCCATCTGAGGAGCTGGAGGAACTCTACAATCTGTGACAAGTAGCCTTGTACCCTGCATGTAACCAATGTTGTAACCCTTTTTGTGTGATGAAATTTTAAAATAAAGTGAGATATATACATATACACACATACAAAAAGAATAGGGGTGGTAGGAGAAGGAAATATCAGTGTTCAGTGAGGATCCACAAGGTCTTCTGAGTACTCTTTATTTTCTTCTCTGAGGCTATGGGTCCCTACACTTGCACCAGAGGTGGTACTCCTTTTAGGTCAAAAAAAAAAAAATTATATTATATATATATATATATATATATATATATATATATATATATATATATATATATATATATATATATATATATATATATATATATATATAATGCAGAAAAACCACAGAGAAATGGAAAAGGAAGATGAACATTTTGGCCGATCAACATTCTTTATAAAATGTTACTAGAAAAGCTGTGTGTTTTAGTGGTTTTGCAAGTACTGTACCACTAAATCACTGACATGTGTAATAAAATAACCCATTGTCTCATCTTGTATATTATTAAATATATACAATGATTTTATACTATGATCTGTTATCCTCATTTTTTACTGTGTGATCATGAAATAATTTGGTTTATACCCAATAAGATGATCATCTGGAGAGAGTAAATTTATCAATAAGATTAAAAAGCATTACTAACTGAACTAATATTCAAGTAAAAGTTATAGAAAACTGGGAAGTATGCCTGAATATGAAAATCTAGAGCAAATGATAATGTAGGCAGTGAAATAACACCAGTTACCTTGTACACAATAATGCATTGTCACATCAGTCATCTTGTGAAGAATAATGCAGTCACACCAGTCACCGGGTGCACAGTAACAGTCACCTTGTGCACAGTACATCACAACCAGTCACCTTGTGACTGTCAAACCAGTCATCTTGTGCACAGTAAGTCACACCAGTCATCTTGTGCACAGTAACAGTCACACCAGTCACCATGTACTTAATAACAGCCACATCAGTTATCTTGTGAAACATAGTAATTCTAAGTCACGCCAGTTACCTTGTGGTAACTGTGTCCCTGCATCACAGGGTGATGCAGTCACACATACTAAAGACACTGCCTGTACACCAAATCTTCCATACCATAATAACCTGATAGCCAATTCATTTATTTAATATTTAAAATACATACACACCCGTAGTTATAATGTTACCTACATTGCAAACAGTGCACCAACTACACTGGTCAGCAGATGCCTGGTCCCTACCACACCATGCTAAAGTGTTTGTTGACTTTAACAAACACTTTAACCAATTTCATATTTTGGCAAAGCCTAAATTGCAATTTCACAACTTGCCAATCAAGCTAAGTACAGTACCTTACCTTGCGGTTACTGTACCTAACGATGATTTCGGGGCTAAACGTCTCTGCGGCCCAGCCCCCGACCAGGCCTTCTATATGTAAAAACTGAACGCCTAACAAGTGATGATAATTTATTACATTCACAATCTAAAGTGCTGTTATTGTCTACAAGTGCAATGCCCAGACCTATTAATAAAATGTACATTTAGTCTGCTGACTTTGTATAGCATCTTTTCCACTCCTGAATACCCCATCTCCCATTAATATAACTTAAAGAAATAATCAGAGATATTTGAAATTAACAAAAATATATATATATATATATATATATATATATATATATATATATATATATATATATATATATATATATATATATATATATATATATATATATATGTCGTACCTAGTAGCCAGAACGCACTTCTCAGCCTACTATGCAAGGCCCGATTTGCCTAATAAGCCAAGTTTTCATGAATTAATGCTTTTTCGACTACCTAACCTAACCTAACCTAACTTTTCCGGCTACCTAACCTAACCTAACCTATAAAGATAGGTTAGGTTAGGTTAGGTAGGGTTGGTTAGGTTCGGTCATATATCTACGTTAATTTTAACTCCAATCAAAAAAATTGACCTCATACATAATGAAATGGGTAGCTTTATCATTTTATAAGAAAAAAATTAGAAAAAATATATTAATTCAGGAAAACTTGGCTTATTAGGCAAATCGGGCCTTGAATAGTAGGCCAAAAAGTGAGTTCTGGCTACTAGGTACAACATATATATATATATATATATATATATATATATATATATATATATATATATATATATATATATATATATATATATATATATATAAATTTTTTGTCTCTCTCTCTCTCTCTTGCACATTTCTTCAGTTACACAACAATGTAACACTGCACTGTTATTGTTATATTTGTTCTGCATTCATATTTACCATTTAATGAACATTATCTTCCCATTCTTTATATTTCTTTCCTCCTGTGTGTGTCTATTTTCCTGTTTTGACCACCAACTTTCCTATTTATATATACAATACCTGCTGAGGCAACTCATTTTCTTTCCACCGCAGTCTTGTTATTTAGTGGAAATTAACGATGGCTACTTTGCATATGTGCAATTAGCATGTGGAACTTTGATGTTCATCACATATTTTTCCAATAATCTCTTGATATAAGAAGGGATTTTAAACATCTGAACAGTATCTTACAGGAGAGTACCTCCATAGAAAACATGACATCAAATTATATGTTCATCTGTTAACCACTGTCTTCATAGACAAACCAAAGAGAGAACATGAGACCACTGGCTTGTGATACATCTTACTCATTCTTCACAAAGATGTTTTACCAGTTCCATATTGAGGAGCATTGCTGTCCTGAGTTTGATAGCCTTTGTGAGGAATATCATCTAATGTGTTACACTCTTTGCCCTTTTGCTTCAAAGATTGGAAGGCCTTGTTATCAGATTTGGGCACTACTCAGTATATGACAAGTCTTTACTTTCTGTATTACTGTATTTGCTTTTGTTTTATCCCCTCTAGTGTTTTGGCAGTGATTCTCCATATACATGGATTTTTTGGGAGAGGGGGAGGGAGGGGGCAAGTCTTTCATGTAGCACTTTACTAAATGCCTTGGAGAAATACCAGTGCGGCACATCAAACTGTGTAGCTGGTCACAGTTTTAACAAAGTGAGATTTGCCTTAGCAAAATAACTACTTGGTAAATTGTGTTGTGATGGATTGATGAGATTGTGTCCTGGGAGATGGTTGTTGATTGCCTTTAAGTGTGAATAATTAAATTAAGATGCTTTAACATTGGCAACAGTAACTGAAATACCATTTCCTACTTTTGTAACAAAAGGCTTTAATAAGATTGGTAAAATAACATCCTTACTCAAGAAGAAAATGAAATTATATAGGATACATGGGCACAATGTTTGAATTATATGTAAAGATTAGCTATAAATTTAATGCCTCAGACCCTAAATTGTCTTTATGAGGAATGTTAATTTGAACATTTCAAAATAAAATAAAGCTTAGAAGTTACTTCTTTCATACAGGGTAACTTAACTGAAAGCTAATAGCTATAATCATTTATATAATGTATTCACATTTCTAAACAAAATACACTGCATCATATTAGCTATATAAAAACAACACAGACTAAAGTTACATCAGTATAATATCAATATAATACATGTGATGTAATGATACATTTTATACATATTCATTTTATGTTTTATTTTATAAGTTGTTACACATGACTGGGTATTCTGTTTAAAACTGAGTAATCCCCCTTTGGAGTTTCATATGTACAAGATGAATATGCGAGTGTTTTGTGTGTTAAATTTAAGTATTTACATTGGAATATAATCTTATACTGTGGGCCTGTGTCTCACACACAGCATTCCTTCTTCCACCCTCCACCTCAGAAGGGGACTAGCTTATTCTTATTCCGATTCTTAATTACTTATTTACTTATTACTAACCATTTTGTTGACTAACCATTAGCAGCAAATTTCTACCAATCAATTAATTTCGATTTGGTCGGCTATGTAATTAAACCCCCCAAGTTATGAAGGGAGGCTCTTAGCAGGACAGCTATGAATATACAGTCCGCTTTAATAAAAAAATAAATAAATAAATTCTTGCTAGGAGATTTTCCTTACGACAGACTTCCAGTTACTGCGACAGTCTTGCAATTTCAAGACAGTCTGGCCAAGCACATGTAATACAGGATATTCTCTGTCATACAGTAACTAAAGATTATTAATGCATAACAACAAAAATAAAAACAATTTATATAGTTAATATCACTGCTGTGTACACTGGGGTTTAAGAATCTATTACATAAAATATAAACTTAGATTAGCAACAGTAACATCTGCCTGATTAACAACTAATCACAAAGGATTTACAGTATTAACACCTCTGCCAAATACCAAACTTACTGGTAGTTAGCAAGGGTCACAAACCCACACCTCTGGAGATCACGGTACCCACACCTCTGGAGATTACGGTACCCACACCTCTGGAGATTACGGTACCTGCACCTCCGGAGATTACGGTACCCACACCTCTGAAGATTACGGTACTGCACCTCTGGAGATCGCAGTTCCCACACCTTTGGAGAGCAGGGTACCCATACCTTTGGAGATCATAGTATTTGCACCTCTGGAGGTCATAGTAACTGCACCTCTGGAGATCACAGTACCCACACCTCTGGAGAGCATGGTACTCTCACCTCTGGAGAGCATGGTACCCTCACCTCTGGAGAACATGGTACCCTCACCTCTGGAGAGCATGGTACCACACTTCTGGAGATCACTGTACCCACATCTCTTGGAATAAATTATGGTACCCACATATCTTGGAATAAATCATGGTACCCACACCTCTGGAAATCATGGTACCCACACCTCTGGAGATCATAATACTAAAACATTTAGAGATCACAGTACCCACACCTCTTGGAATGAATCACGGCACCCACACCTCAGGAGATCATGATATGAACACATCTGGAGATCATGATACCCACACCTCTTGGGGTAAATCTAAGTAACCACACCTTTGACGTTAGATCAAGGTACCCATACGTCTCAGAAGAGTTCAAATTACTTATGCCTGACAGAAAGCTAAGCTTGTCATAGTAGTTTGGTAGTCATTACTTAAGTAAAATAAGAATCCATCCATCCCATTAAATATGATGCCCATGCAATGGGGGTTTAACTGAAACAAATACATCGGCAATCAGTAACACTAATCACTTCACCAAGGCACACACACAACAAAAATATATTATTTTCATACAACTCTGTCATTTGCAATTTTATCTTATTTTTGGTGGACACTATTTCACGATTTTAATAAATCCTTCATCACCAGACTAGGTAGATCGGATTGAAAGAGCTGATATACTCAAGGCAGTCGACACAGCTAAACTGTGCAGTTTCCTGTGTATAATTTCCTTAATCACAAACATCTCAATAATGCAAAAGTTCTCTAAGTTTAGGGAAGATCATATACAAATAAATGCCACAAGAAACATTAATTACATTAGAGTATAGCTAATTCTTATTTAATTATAAAACATTTTTCTAAGCCAGATACAGTTCCGCTACCCAAGGCTTTATTTCATAAACCTAACATTGAACGTAATGAAATGCTTCTTTCTGGTAGAGCCTCTTGGTTCCCTGAAGCTATGTTGCTGAGATTGCTCCATGCTAAAAGGTCAAATTGGTCACAAAAGTTCTGTTTGGCCTACCGGAAACTGGAGCTAGAACCTGTCTCCTCACAGAGGTGCAGGGAATGAGTAACAATTTGCCACTCCAATGGGAAAAAAATAGAAACTCAGCAAAGCTTTACAAACAACTAGAGGGTTCAGAGAAAATAAAGCCACAAAATCCATCAAACAACTGCACAAATGTTTCACACAGAACGAGGGAATTCACTCAAACTAGACCAAAACGTGTTAATACCGATCATTATCATAAGACAGCATGGTCCGTACCTGCATCCAACTTCTCTGGACAGTTCTGGAGCTGATGTACAACTCACCAAGGAACCTAGAAAGGATAGAGGGAGGGAATTGGGAAGTCACTAGGGCTTCCCAATTCATCCTGGTGGCCAGGCCTCTCAGGGGCAAACTCCCAAAAATACTAGAGAATATAACTCTGTCAGTGCAGGGGGCAGCAATAGTGGGTACACAAGGAAGAAATCAGACTACATGCAGCCCAAAATGCAACAATATGCAACCCTGCACAACAAGCCGGAGATAAAACATATCATATGAAGTTCATATTAAATCAAAGAACAATACAGAACCAAATTAACATAGTCCAAGGATGGCTGACACTTAGCTTGAAGAAGATAGGCTTGCCCATGACTGGCAGACTGGGGAACAACTGGTAGAACCTTCCACCAGCAACAGAACCGACTACAGGAACTAGCTGCAGGCAGAGGCTGGGTCACCTGGTGGAGGTGATCAGCACTAACATGTTTCAAGCTTATTTGAGTGAATCCCTTGTTCCTTGAGAATTGTATGTAAAATTCTTTGACAGTTTTTGAAGCTTTGTTTTCTGTGAATCCTTCAATTTTCTGTAAAGCTTTGCCGACTTTCTGGAAGCTTTCCCAGTGGGATGGCAAACTGCCACTCACTCCCTGCACCTGTGTGAGGGGAGGCCAGATTCTGCCTCTGGTTCCCAGTAGGCCAAACACAACTTCTGTGACTGATGAAACCTTTTAGCATGGAACAATCTCAGCAAGATATATAGCTTCAGGAAGTCACTGGGGCTCCTCCAGAAAAGAGCAAAGCTTTCTTTAAACAAAGATTACAGAACGGGGCAGTACATTATACTTAGTATTTAAAAGTTTCAAGATTATCACACTTGATAAATTGCCCCAAATTTCAGTTTGTTAATCTAAATGTTAAAAATTTGGGATGAAAATTAGCTAATTTTACTTTGTTATATTACCTAGTTAATGCCCGGATCTGCTCCATCTTGAGTGGCAAGAGCTGGACCATTTCCCGGCACACAGCTAGTTCCTGAGCCATTACAGACTGACACTCGGGATTCTTATCACAGTACTCTACTAGTCTCTGAAATATAATATTTTTCAATGTCAAATTATATTATGTACAAGGCATTAATTGTTACAATAATTATATCTAAAGTACTGCATGACCTTTATCACAAAGAACAGGGCAATAATTTTCATTTAAATATAATGAGCCACTGAGTGGGTTCTGCCTTACTATTTTCAACAATCCTTTTTTTCAATTTTTGTATCATCTTCACTCCTAAACTTAGTGGATTCATTATATATTAGCAGAAACCTTTAACATGCTCTCAGTTTGGGGCATCTTTTGAACTAGCTTCATGTCTTGCTTGTCTTTCCATAACTACCCAGCACGCCGTGTTGAACCCGTCCTTATCACCTCTCCTCTCACATTATTCGTTACATACAGCTCAATTTCTCTCCCAATTCTTGATCTCATACTATCCTCTCAATCAACTTCCCATGGCTTCCCATAATTTCCTCTTCTGATATCTAGCTTCTCTTCCATGGTGTTACCACTGGTCTTAATATCATTGTATATCACTAAATAAGCAATTTATTTTTGCAGCTTGATTGCTCTTTCCTAATAAACTGGAATATTGCACACCAGAGCTTACTAACACTGTAAATCACGTTAAGAAACAAATAGAGAGTGAATGAATAAAAGATAATTGGTTAAGTTATGCCATATGTTAGGCAAGCATTTGGGATTAAAAAGGGTAACAGGTATTTAAAATCTAAACAAATACTAATTTATATTGGTCTTGGCCCCAACCACTTTGGATGTTCAACTCTAAGCAAATAAGAAACGTTCAGAAGCAATATATATAAATTTTACTCAACTGCCAGCTACATGTTTGGGAACAGATGTGCCAAGCATCAAGAAAGCTAAAGCCTAAGGAGATTAAGCTTTCAAGATCAAATCAGACTTTATTCTTAGAACTTTTTAATGACTAATAAAATGAGAAAGGATTGAATTTACACAAAATCTCCAAAGATGACTGGAAATACAATCTGAATACAGTATTTTAATATGTACGAAGGCACTGTTATATCACTTTACACTTAAATGTAAAAAATTACCCTCCCTTATATGTTAGTGAATAAAAATAGTATGCAGCATGAAGCCAACTGTACTATGATTCACTGATGAATAGGTACACTGCCTTATAGAAGCAGTTTAAGAACCTAATACAAAATTAAATACATTTTAAAAATCAATCATTTAATGTAATGAAATGTTCATTTCTGGTAGGCTTCTCAGTAGCTTACCGTGCTAAGCACTAGTACTGCCATGCCTTAGGAAGATACAACAGACCTGTGAGACCTACCCATATCTACCAGAAGCCAGGGCCAGGATCTGACTCTATGAGGTGAGGGGGGGAACAGCTAGGGGATCGGAGATCAACCAAAATCCAAGACAATTCTACAGTTTGCATATTGCCTCAGAGTTCCAACTTTTCTGTAAGTATTTCTTTGTTTTGTTGTGCATATATTCTAAGATTAAGTTTTCTCAGTTTTGGGTTTTTGCCGATTCACAAGACCTGGAAATCAGTGGGCCTAGTGGCCTGAGACATCTTCCTAAGTCATGGCAGTAGCAGAACTTATTGCAGGGAGCTACTGAGGGAAACACTTCCAGAAAAGATACACACATATAACACACATCACAATACTGTACCTTATAGTTCTGAAGAGACTGAGATAAATTTTGTAGCTTGGTTTGCTGACTAGCAGCAATGAGCTTTGACCAAAGACGCCCCAGATGAAACCAAGCAACCAAAGCTGGACGAACAGAGTCTTCTGTGTACACTGTTGGCTGCTCTCCAGTACTGGAAACACACACAAAATCAGGAGACAAACATCTTGAAATCAAAGTTCTAAAAGAAATTTACCTTGCTGAATAGTTAACAAGAATGAACTACTTATTGCCATAAGATTAGTGGACTCAACATTTCTCAAGCGTTGTCAAACTTTCAAACATGATCTGCTAGACATGATCTTAAAACAATGACATGCTCACAATATGGAAAAACAGGTAAACAAATTCTAAGTTTAACAAAGTACAATGTAATTAAATTTTACAACAGTAAAAAATACAAAAGTAATTATCAAAAGATATTCAATGTTCATCCTTTACTGGCTAACATCATATATTCTTAGCTAGTTATAACACATCAATATAACACAACTGGACACATGAATAAGTGAGCAAGAGAGTAGATTTATTGATAGGTTATCCTGCAGAAACCTGATGCCTATAGGTTAGACTGCTAATGGTACTGATGACCAAGTCTGGTAAAATTTTCTTCATAAGAAAATAAATAGTATTTGCTCACCTTGTATCTTTGAGAGAGTCAAGATAGTGGAGGAAGTACTGTATGCTGGATGTGGCCAAGGTGTTGATCTTCTTAGCTTGTGGAGGAGTGACCTCACTACCTGCACTCTCCACCAGTGACAGCTTGTTATCCATCATAGCTGAGTAGGTCTCGGCTATCTCATAGTTAATTTGACGACACAGCTGTAAAAATAAAATTTCTGTGTTGTCATGATATGCAAATTCTGGAATTAAAGTATAATGGCTGACATAAATGGATCAATTAGTTGGAAGAAATTTGATTACAGAGAAATTATCCCTAAAGTGAGAAATGTTAAATCTTTGTTATTTTTCAGTCACAATTTATATTTTTCCTGGAACCCTGGAACCTGTTATTAGGTTTTCACCAAATTCTCTGCTTTTCTGTAATGTTAGCCATAGCAACTCAACGTGGTGTTGAGCTCGAGTTGGTTGCTTAAATTTTTCCCGCCTGATAGTGTGGGTGAAGAAGACAAGTGCAGGACGCTTACTATGTCAGCGCCTTAATTTTGCCAGACTTCCTCGCCCTATTGCAACCAAAATGTCTCACCTACGATTTTTTTTTTTTTACTTTTCCCGTGATCAGGGAACACAAATGATCACTATAATAAGAAAAAAAAAAAATTCTTGCACCTGGGTGTATTGCAGGCTATAATTGCAAACGCCTCCCAGGGGTTAAACTTAAATTCTAGAACCCTAATCATATCATATTAAATAAAACACTTAAAGCTAAAAATTAAAAAAAAAAAAAATTAAGCAATACAGTACAGTATACTTACATGCAAATAATACTGTGGATTAAGTTCTTGTATAAGACCAGTCAATAAGTCAACTCGCCGCTTGTGCATCTTGCACCGCCTGCACAAAACAAATATGTAATAATGATTACCTTAGAGTAACAGAACAACTTAACACACAGTCACACTACATTATCCATTATGGTTTTTCCAAACATTAATGGTAAATAATTTTAAAAAACTTTAAACGTACTTTACAAAAGCTAGCAAATATTTTGAGGTAGACTTTCATGCAAATGTTATTTTATTTTGGTAGTAAGATGATGACCTTAAGTGAAGATATATTGTTCACAGATTTATTGGATCAATTCCACAAAGGTTTATTCTTGTTACAATATTTGAATATCTTTTTGCCCCTCTATTCATACTGTCCCCTAATATTTAGCCTACAAAACAGAGTATAAATTTCAATTATGCAAAATAGTTATTATTAGAGAAAATGTGATGGCTATTATTAATTGTCTGCTTAACAATTATCAACTGTATTCTCCTTCCAAGTAAATGTTATTGAAAAGGTGATAACCCTTTTTCCCCTCCTCACCCATACCCACCGAGGCCAAATACTGTACCTCCCAACCCTCGCAGACAGATGGAACACGTCGTAGTTTACCAAACTCTCACTTGGAAAGGAATGAGGAATACTTCCACCTAATTTACACTTGGAAAATATTAGGAGGACTGGATCCAAATCTGCATACAGAAATAACACCATACGAGACCAGAAGGCATGGCAGGATGTGCAAAATAGCCGCATTGAAAAGCAGACATGCAATAGGCATGCTGAGAGAGAACTCAATCTACATCAAAGGCCAAGACTTTTCAACACTTCCTCCCCTACATATTCTGGGCATAACTGGCCGACTTCTCACAATGTTCAAGAAAGAACTTAATTAAAAAGAACCTTCAAAGGATACCTTATCAACCAGGCTGTGACTCTTATATAAGGCTGCGAGCAGCTGCATTGAACAGCCTGGTTGATCAGATCAGCAACCAGGAGGCCTGGTCAGAGATGAGGGCCACCGGGACATTGACTCTTGAAATCATCAATAGGTAGACCCAGTGACAGAACAGACCACACTTCCCCTACCTTCACTGTAATGTAATAGGTCATATTTCCTCTCTCTCCTACATATCATCACTCTGATGGAACATGCCAACTTCCCTCCCATCTCTACTGTGAGAACAGGCTATAACCTACTCCCTCACCCTCACTGTAACAAAGCAAGCCTCCTTTGCTTATATTATCTCATCAGTTTGAATAACTTCACACACATGCTAATTAGAATTACAATGGTTTCAATATTTGGATTCTAAAATTGTAACTTATAATATTACCTCTCCTCAGAAGGTTCAAAAAACGCTAATGCCTTGTATAAGTGGCTCATCTCTTGTACAATGCTGACATAGTCACCAGCATAGTCCTCAAGAGTATAGAATTCCCGGGCAGTGGTCAGCCACCGCAGGCCTGCCAAAAACACGGGCCTGGCTTCATCGAAGTTCTCTCCTGGGGATGCAGCCACTTCAGACTCCAAGTCACTGACTTCTAGTTGCACAAACTGTAACTGTTCAGCAAGAAAAACAAAGTTGTTTTAGTGTAAAATATTAGTCCTAAATACAGCTGGTTCTTGATTTTATATAGACATACATTCTAGGAGACCTTGCACAGAGCCAAGCCACATATTGCAAGTTCCAAGACAATGTGTTTTATTACAAAGAAAAATAACAATGCTGTACTTTGCCCAGCATACTATATGCATACAGTTTTGACACAATACACCTTAAGACAACAAACGAATAGATATAATAAGAGATAAAGAAATGTATCCCTAGGCAAGCATATCACAGGAAACGAACCGTGGTGTAATAAGTACAGTAGATATAATGAGTACAGGTAAGTCATGATTATAGAGAATAGAATGAGTAAAGGGAGTATAAAGTGGCAACATGGTGTACTGGTGTTTTGATACTGAGGCGGTATTGGTGTGGTAAAGGCATATTAATGGTGTAATACTGTTGTGTTATTGTGACATTGTTCTGACTTACCAGTGGTGATGATGGATGGTAGGATAGGGTGATGTGGGATGGGCAGGGAAGGCAGAGAGAAAACTGGCTCTAAACAAAAGTGAACAATAGGCCCACCACAAAATATATCAATTACTGTATATAAATAGATTAAAGTTGCAGAAGAAATTATTATCAGGGATGATATTACAGAAGTAATGAGCATTACTGAAAATATATGTCTATTACTATATGTAGTGAACATTGATCTGGAGTGATGGAAGTGAAGCTTAAAATTTCATAAGATCTTGATTGACAACTCATACAAAATGTTGATCGATATCCATATTTCAAGTGGCCAACACCAAGGTAGATTTTTTACCTTTGCATATAAATACAATACTGTATACTTATCTATAAGAAACCATCTTTTCTGTGGGGGAGCCCCGGAGGCTCCCTGGAGCCTTTGGGGCTCTACCCAGAAAATGGCATTTCATTACATTCAATGCTGTTTTTTTGTTATCTATGATGGCTAGGTCTTAACATAATTTCTATAACCCCTGAATCGCACATTGAAAATAGTTAACAAATTAAATGTTGAAAAAGTCATATACAGTATAAGCAATTGAAGCAGTGTTAAAGGTTAAAGGGTTAAATGGCTATCTGTATACAGGTGGATAGAATATGAAATTCAAAACAGTATAGGAAAAAATGGCTAAAGATAATAGAAACACTAAAATATTATAGCCTTTAAAAACATAACAACAAGATGGAAATAATAAAGCTAGTAAAGAGTAAATAATTTCAAAACTAGTTTCCTACTATGAACACTTTCCTAAACTCAATGTTAAGTACTATACACGACATGAACTCTCATAAAATGTTACCTGTTTATCTAATATTTCCTCTTGTGGTTGGCATTCTTCCTGTGACTGTTGTTCAGGCAGGTCATCTGGGATGGCACGATCACATGACACTTGGAGAAGCACCAGACAGTATCGTCCCCAGCAGCGTGCTACATCAGCTTTACACTGCCGATATTTCTCGTGCCTGTAATGAAGTATCCAGTATGTGATATTGTATAAGAATACAGTACCTCTAGTAGACTGATTGGCTTTGGCTACTCATAAAATGCTGCTTTGGTACTAGTAAATATGGGCATCTTTCCCCCTTTAATAGCTTTTCTTCAGTTTCACTTTCAATGCAATGCCACTCAGTGTACAGTATTTTGTTAATGTAATTATTTAAGTAAGTGTGATAAACAAGAACATGAATAATACTGAAGTGTTTGAATAGTGAATGGTGACTTAAGCACTTTAACAGCCTCTGTCATAACACGTGACTTAAGAGAATTTAGACTACACACACACACACTTCTGAGTGAGTGCTTACAACAAGCACTCAAGCTTTTACTGTTAGCATGTGCTAGTTCAATAGCATAAGGTGTGCCTGTAGGGAATTTGTGAACTAACTGTTGTAAGGACATCACTTAGTCTTTCTGTTCAACTCGCATACTAATGCACTCATCCTTTTAGGTGAACTAAAGTCTTTGGTGATGAGAATAATGTGCTTACACACGACAAATTTTCAAGCACGTTATATGCCATAATAGTGTGTGCTATTTCATCATATTTTCCTCCAGATACCACAGCAGTCTCATCTATAGTTCGTAAATAATTTCCCTCCATTATTCTTACCTCAAAAATGTTATAATTACAATTACCTGCGAGCAGCATCGTGTGCGTCCTCCTGTGGAGTGTCAACCTCAGCTTCATGTCCTGAGAGTACCTTAGATGCAGATGCTAACAGATGCCGGGCAACTCTGAAAGTACAGTACAACAAATTATGAATGGTAAATAAGAGAGAGGAGGGGAGAAGAGTAGTCAGTAAGAGATGAGGAACAGGAGGAAGGTACAGAGAAAGGGAGGAACAACAGAAATGGAGGAGGAAGAAGAGAGGGAAGAAAATGGAAGAGGAAGGGTTGAATAATGGTTTTGGTAGTATTTGTGACAATAATAACAGTAATTGTAATCAAACTCGGACACAACAATTTGGGAACCACTTTTATCAAATGTAAATCATACTGCTATTAGTGGACACATATTATACCTGCATCTGCATCTCAAAACCTGAGTGCTGCCAATCCAAAATGGAACTGGCATTCACAAAATGATTCTTGATGCAAGCCAAACAGATGAATGTTGCTGGGCGACAGATCATGATTGTATAGTGGAAGCACAATAACCTGTTAGCTTAGCCTTTGGATAGTGTCCTTTGTCACATGTTGTGTAGGTGGGTGAGCATTTTCATACTTCAAGGACCTTTGCTATAGTGATCTACAACATTCATTTTGATGGCTGTCTTCAGCTTCATGCTTAGTAGGGAAAAATTCATATCTTTAGTAATAGTTAATTCCATAGAGAGAAATTGCCACTATTCACATGTAAAATATAGACATTATGACCTTTCCTCTCAATTGGATGACTGTGTGGCATCTCATCATTTGTTGGCAACACTCATTACCTTATTCTTGAACCTTCAACCTAACTGTTGATCCAAGAAGTAATATACATGCTATCTATTGTACAATAACCTTCATTTTCTTCAGTACCCTTAATGATAACAAAAATATGATTTGAGCTTGTAAAAAGTAACATTTAGAGAAAGTTATTCAACCACTTCCAGAGGTATATTAATCTGCCACTTCCATAGGTATTTTAATCTACCACTTCCAGAGGTATTTTAATCTACCTCACATTAACTTGATCAACTGATAGTTAGGCAAGGAAATAAAGTGACAATAACACAGGACATAAGATCTTGTAAGATACCCTTACAAGTTAATAAACGGTGCTTGGAAGTTACTGGATGATGATACATCCACCCAGGATAACAGATATTCAAAAGAGTCTGTTCTCAAAACCAAGGTAACAGACCCCTGAGACATCCGACATATGCCTGCTAATGGTTAGCTCTTCGTGACCCTACATGCAGCCATTCAAGCTCCCACTTGATCTCGCCACCACCAGGAGGGAAGGAATATCTCTCTCCCTCCCTCACTTTTCTTAATCCCTCCTCTTCTCTCCCTTCATCCTTCCTTCACTCCCTTTTTCCTCAACAAATCAAGCACGATGCAAAATATTAATGCTCAGATTCTTAATTCTAAAGATATGATTTATTGTCTTTTATTACTCAGAAAGTATAAATGAAAATATCTTCTTTTCAGATTCTTAATTCTTCTCACCTAAATTGTTCTTTTCCCTGGTAAAACTGAGATAAATTAGCAGCATTGATGGACCAATCAATTGGGTCATAGTCTTTGCTGGCCAGCTGTCGCTGTAGAGTGGAGTGGCAGTACCACGCAGACTTCTCCGGAGCACCAATATGACCATAAATCTGTGGGTAATGCTTTTAGTGTTACCATCTCACAAATATGCTAGCTTTTATGTTAGTATTTTCCAGGATTAAAATGCATACAAGCTGCTCTACTTTTTCACTAAGGAAAATAAAAAAACTTAATTATTAATAAGCAAGTTCAGTTTTACTCATGACTAAGTAATGCATTTATTGCAATCTTTATGCATGAAACAAATTTTATATTAAATGAGTTGCAAAAGGTTAATGTGCACTCATGTAATACAAACTATGAGGCCATAAATATAATAATATGTAGCTACAAAATGTTGTAGTATACAAAGAGTGGTCTAATTTTAAATCTGAAGTCTCCATGTTAAGAGCGGTAATCTCACTGTGCAAGAAACTGCATAATTAAATGTCAAGTTTGACAAATAGTTAAATATTAAATGTAGCCACAAATATGAGCCTATTCATGTCACTGACCTGAGCAAGGAAGTAGAAGGTGAGCGTGTGTAGCTTTTCTAGTGTGTCTAAACCACTAATGTCATCACCACTATTCTCCTTTTCATTAGAAGAAGAAAACAAACTATTAATAGTTCTTGGAGGTTTAGTACACTGCTTCTGGTACTCTTCATATAGCTTATTGGCTCGATCAAGATGACGTTTAGCTGTCATAAAATTTGCCCGGTGTGACCACAAGATTCCAAGCTGGTTGTGACAGCTTATTGCAAGTGCAACAGTAGCAGGAGCTATAACAGTAGGACTGATGGAAGAGGTTTCACTGCTTTCTGACAAGCTCTCCTCAGTACCAAGAAGTGCAGCTGCGGCAACCTCCGCATCCCCAACAGTAACTGATGAAACTCCCGATGAAATACCACACTCATCTCCAATAATGACTAATGCTTTATTTAGGTGCTCCTCACCCGTTGAAAATTCTTCAGTATCAACTGCGATGACTCCTAGATGATATACAACGGCAGCCATCCTGGCCCTAGTCAAACCCACACCATCCACACCCTCTTCGCTAAATGCACCCTCACTATCATCCACATCATCTTCATCTAATTGTTTACTGAGCCGTGATTTTAATTCTTCAAATATTTCTCTTGCTGCGTATTTAGATTTATAGGGCTCCCTGTCAGGGTCATGATGACTCTCTTCTTGATAGAGCTGCCAAGCTTTCTGGTATTGGTCTTCCAGAGATGCCATCTGGCGGAATATGAAACACGCTTCACACAGCGGCAATCTGAAAAAACAACTTGGGTACTTTTCCAATGTTTATGAGATATAGACAGCTAGTGCCACAAACAAAAGTTAAACAAAATAAAAAGAGAGAGAAATAATTAGTATTATATACAATGGAAAAAATGTAGAATCATTGAAGCAGAAAAACACATGTTTAGAATGATATTTTTTTCAATTCAAAAGATTGATTTATTAATGACATTATTAAACTGTACACAGGATAGGAATATTTTAGAAGTACTGTATTAGAGTAGTGTATAATATGAAGTCGAAACATACTGCACACTGAAGTGGGAAATTCATGCTCCATAATATATGACAATACTACTGTACAGCACTGTATTACCTTTCTACATAAAATTGACACCTTCCGTGATGCACATGACCAATAATGCTTTGTTCACGGAAAGTTATAATTTTGCCTTGTTAGTTAGGCATTGCTAATTAATTCTGAACTAAGCATAATAAATATTTTACAGCTTCCAGACATTCACTACCGATCACCCATACAAAGACGAAGAGTCAATTGAGATGCACAAAAATAAGAAAAGCAGCTCGACATGTAGGAAACGTTTCCTCAAGCAAGATCAGCTTTGACTGTGATTAATACCATTTGTCTCTTCCAAGACCAAATTTGGAAACCTATGTTAATGGACAAATCCATCAAGCTAAATAGAAAGTGGAATCTTTATGTGAGCTAAACTATCTATCTCTAACAACTTCTATGTGCCTGATGTTGGTACAGTACAGTATATCTACAATGTAAAATTGAGTTAGAGGACATCCTCGTACAAATAAAACATAGTGAAACCTCGATTAATGAATTTAATCCGTTCCGGCACCGAGTTCGTCATGTGAAACGCTTGTCTTTCAAAACAAATTCCCCCAATTAAAATAATGGAAATAAAATTAATCCGTTCTACCGACGAAAAACATCAATATGATATTTGATTTTTTAAATAATACAGCAGCCAACCTGACATACAGTACACTGAACAAATCTTTATGACATTTTTTTATTAATAATGGAGCCGCCTACCTGGCATATACTGAAAGAACCTTTATGACATTTTTCCTTCTTTCAAATTTGTTCAATTTTTTAATTTTTTTTTTTTTATACAAAATGGAGCTGCCTACCTGACAATCACTGAACGAACCTTAATGAATTTTTTTTTTCAAATTCTTTCAATTTTTTTATTTTTCATTTTTTTTTTAATGTTGCAGCCTACCTGACATTCAATGAACGAACCTTTTTGACATTTGTTCTTTTTTCAATTTTTTTCACTTTTTTTTCTAATTTTGTCTAAAAACAAAAATTAATGCTTTGCAACATTACAGCAGTCACCCCTTTACATTCCCAGCATCATTAGCATCTTTAAAACACCAAAAAGTTATTTGCATTGTCGGAGGTGTCCGAGAATTTAGCGAGAACCAGCGGAAACGCTAGGAAGCACCATGTGCTTTTCTCGTTAATCAAGCGAAAGCTCGTCAATTGAGGAAAATTTTCGCCAAGTGGCGAGCTCGTTATTCAAAATGCTCGTAGATTGAGGCGCTCATCACTCGAGGTTCCACTGTATGTATAGTATAATGTGCTTCACAAAAGTCATTCTTTCCAAAACAATAGCTCTGACTATTGATGCCCAGTGATTTGGCAGTCTTATTGTAAGAGAAAATGTCAAGTTATGGTACATAAGAACTTGGCTATAAAAATGGAGAATTAAAATTATAACCTTTAAAAAGATAAATAAAACTGATAAAAATTTAGAGTTCCCTGTGTCCTGAAGTTTGGATAAGGAAAAAAAATACAAGTAGAATGTAAATGCCTAGCAATATGCATAGTAAAATGAAACATATTCTTGACAAATGCTGTACTGTTTAATACTTCAAAATTTTGCAAAGAATCCCATGATCCTCTGGTGAGAAATCAGATTATATTGATTTACAGTTACAGATTTATATTGTACAGTTACTTTTATACACATAACTTTGTATGCCTCATCATGTGAAAGATGGGCCTAGTTCTGGCAAGCATGTATAAGGGAAGCAGAAAAGTTTACAATATACGGTATCTACAATAGTTAAGATCAGGAGGGTTCTGGATTTAATGAATTTGTTTCCTGAAAATAAATTCCAAAACATTTAACAGGACAAAGTAAGTTACATTCTGAATCGCCATTACCAAATATAATAGCCTCATAACAAAATCATAAAGAGGGTTAGATTTGCATATATAGTTTAGAAATAAGGAAATGGAGCCCATACAACCACTATCAAGAAAAAGATTACAATGAAGGCACCAAGTACTGATGTACAATCAAGAATGAATCCAATGGTCTTTACAAACATAATTTTCCAACATTAAAATGCTAGCAATAAATGCAATATTTAAGTTTACAGCCTTTTTCAATATTTTGCCGAGACTTTTATATACAGTACATATTATTAGTTTTAGGTTTTAAATATATAATTTCGTGCTGTGGCTTACTATATACTGTACTGTACTGCTTTCTGAACTCTTGACATGACAATAAAGAGGTCAAATTCAAACAAGTGGTTAATTCTGAGAAAAGGTCTTAATGTTATCTTATCTGCAAAGAACTTGTGTGTGTTCATCCTGACAGCTGAGTGGACAGCACTTCGGATTCGTAGTCCTGAGGTTTCAGGTTCGATCCCCGGTGGAGGTGGAAAGAAATGGGGCAGAAATTCTTTCACCCTGCTGCGCCTGATCACCTAGCAGTAAATAGGTACCTGGGAGTTAGACAGCTGCTACGGGCTGCTTCCTGGGGGTGTGCAACAAAAAGGAGGCCAGATCGAGGATCGGCCACGGGGTTGCTAAGCTCCAAACCCATCTCAAGATAACCTCAAGATCCTTATAAATCCTTTGCTTGTTTTTCCAAAACCCTACAACTCTGACTCCAAGATGAATCTTTTTGAGAACAAATCCTCCTCTTAGTGAAAAACCCAGCATTGACGTTAATGAAACAAGGTGAGATTGCTCCATTCAAATGGGTCACAGATGTAGGATGTTCTGCACTACATGACTTGATAGTGGTCCAGGATGCTTGAAATGTCATCATTTCTTCATTTTCTGATGTGTGGTTTGGTCATATCTTCAGCTATGTTATTGTGACTCATCATCTGCTTCAGATGCAGTTCTGCTTGGCCTACCGGTAACCAAGGCCAGAACCACACCCCTTAATGACTGAATACCATTACAATAAACCATAATGGTACTGTGAAAATAATTTGTATATTATCACACCCAAAAATGGTTGAGCTTGCATGAAGAATGAATTTGAAGCATCACACTAAGAGTTTTATTTCAGAAATGCTCAGCAAATTGGTAATTGAAGGTAACAATATACACCTTTGCCAGACATACAAAAGAAATTATCCATTGCTAAAGTTTCCGATTCTTAAAGAAGCAGACTATAGACGATGCTGGCCAGCAGACTTTTAAATTTCTAAGTACTGTACAGCAGTAAGATTATACAAGAAACTATACCCTTCAGAAGAGTGCTGCCAAGGTGGAATACTATCACACACAAACCACTACTACAGTGGCCAGGCAGTAGATGTAGCAATATATGAAAGAAAAGGTAGTGGGAAGGGTTAGAGAACTTGAAAGAGTGAAAGGCTTATGTGGTGATAGAGCCTTCTGGAGAAACACCTGCTGTGGGCACAGCCTGTGGTATAGATCACAGAAGGAAGTAAGGCATTGGGGTCTTACTTCCTTCCATTAGGACCACACATGTTAAACATCCAATTTTAATCTTTGGAACAGCACTAGCAACCAACCAAGAACTGAAAATCACAGACAATTTTTTGAGCTCTTAGCAGCTCTGTAGTTCAGACATTCTCTGAAAATATTTCCTAGCACAAGACAAATTTAATGGAAATCAAGCTCCTTAAATTATAAAATTGTCTTTAAAGGCATCACTTTCTAAAATGAGAATTAATTATAAATGAATTATAAATAGCAATACTAGATTCACTGAATGAGTATGGGAAAAACCTGATTTTTTTTATAATTTTCAGTGCTTTTCAATACCAGAAGGCCAGGTAGGGATGCTTTCAGAGGCACATAACCTGTTCTTTACTGTACTTTAATTTAAATTTTGTATATTGTATATCCTACAATACTCCATCACAGTGTCCAAACTTGGTCTTGGGGTCCAGACAATAAACATCAACTGTAAAAACTCTTTTACTAGCAAGATAACACAAACAAATAGGACAAACTACTGTGATAAAATTAAACTATCTAAATGAAGATAACGTAAAGCAGGAAAAGAAGGAAATGTGTGGCTACATATAGAAAAATTATATGTGAAGATAAAATTATGAGAATGACAACAGTATAAAAACTTAAGAAAAGGGATATTAAATTCAGAAAAAAGATAGAGGTTATACAATTAAGACGTCATTGAAAATTAATTACATACAGAGCAAATATATAAATAGGAAATGCAGAACAACTCCATGTTAAGAGAGATGCAAGGGGTTAGTGCCTGAATAGAGAAGATGTACAGAGAAACTAATAAATTTTTCAATAAACAGTATTGCAATATCAAGCACTGATTATTAAGTAGCCAAATTGGTACTAAGACAAATATTCAAACTGCACACGCAAGTGTAAATGTGCAATTTTCTGATGATTCTAAATCTTTGCAGGTCACGCTCACCGTAACATTCAAAGAGTTGTAAATTTATTTTTCTGGCAACAAGTGTCTTCAAGCAAAAATAATTTGGACATGTAAAGAGTGAGTTACAGAAGGTTCAGCAACTTACAATGGAGTGAAAGTATCAAGTGGGTAGTGTTGTCATTCAATACAGTGTAATTCTCCAAAACACTTAAGATCTGAAGATCATTCTCAGTATCCCTTAGCACACTGATAATACAATGACACACCCAAGCCACATCATGGCAAATGCCCAACTCTTGTGCAGTAAGCTACAACCTTGTACCTATTAGATAAGCTGTGATTTGTTGTGCCCAGAAAAGCCGAGGTACCTCGAATATATCAGCTCAGCACTTATTCCCTTGGCGGTGTTAGAGGTCAGTTACTGCTTTGCTGACATGCAGGGGGGAGGCTGTCTCACTGAAACTTGAAAATACCATATGAATAAAAACTATGACAACTACAGTATTTTCAGAAGTACTGTACTTTTGAGTTCTGTGTATGGCAGTGAAGGATTGTGTGCCAGTAGTTTTACTGATGTATTCAGCTGCAACCTGTCTGCAACAGTTTGGTCCACAGAAGCAAGCCTATGCTTGATAACAATTACCCCCCCAGGCCACTCCTATGCTATAACCACATATATTAATATTCTTGGAAATTATATACAATGGAAACCTAATCCTCAAAAACATTAATGCTACATCCCAAACATATAAATATATATATATCCTTGGCAATAAATGTATTCTACTTCTGTTTTCCATTATTCATGTCCAAACTGTAAATACTTAGCCATCATTTGCCCTGAAAACTATAGAATTTATGAATAAATCCCTAAAGAAGCCTTTATAAAGTAAATTTATTCTAGAATTTGTAACAGATTTATAAAAAATATTGTAGTTACATATAAAAAAAAACAGGTTTAATCTCTCAAACACAAGCAACCATACTCTTAAACACACAACTAGGTAAAGACATATTACTGAGAAAAATGACTATGCATGTAGTATTGCTACAACACAAAGCACATTACTATAGCATGGTTCAAACAGCGTACGGTACTGAGCACCTGTTTATCAGGGGTCATTTACAGAAAATATTGAGGGTATAGCACTGCTCAAAGTGGTGCAGGCATTTCAGTTTAGTGAGAATTGTACACTGTTTAACATGGTCAAGCACTTGTATTAATACACATCTAGTATAAATACACATAAATACACACGATGTATAAACATCACTTAAAACAATTAACAAAGAGTATGAACAGGCAGATTATGTACAATGCTTGAGCATGTATGCAGACACATTCTTCTGTACATTGCTGAAATGAATACAAGAGAATTTGTGAAATACTTACAGAATTAAGGTAAGATAAGTACTTACTGATATATCCATGACTTACATCCTTTCATCAGATAATGTACCAAACTTCATTATTTTTAATATTACAGTGCAAACAATATGTATTAAGTATTAGTACTGTACTCTTATCTAACTGGAAAAATAAATATACTGTATGGAGCTTTAATCTAAACCTATTTAATGCTCATTTTAAAATAAAGAATACAACCAAGACACAACAACTAAGCTTAAACTTTTTGTTTTTCCTTTGAAATGTAAATGTATATTTCACCCGAGAAACTGCTGCTTACATCTTACACGCATCTTTAAAATAACTACGACTGGTAATCACAGTTAACCGAATCCTGCCTCAACTATGAAAATATTATAATAACTGTAATAAGATAAGCCTGTCTTTCCTTTATAATTGTACTTTTACATAAGAGTGCAGCTTTCAATAATTTGACTGTTATTCCTTTTATGATATCCAAGCATAACTATTTTCTAGAAACTCACTGAAATGTTATAAGCTTAGTATATAATGGCTAAAAATAAAAGGTCACTTTTAATACTATAGTATACACATACCCTATACAGTATTTGCTTTTAATGCTGTACACTTAGCATGTTTGCCATTAATGCTGTGTACAAGGCATGTTTGCTGTTAATGCCATGTACAAGGCATGTTTGCTGTTAATGCCATGTACAAAGCATGTTTGCTGTTATGTAATTCCATGTACAAGGCATGTTTGCTGTTAATGCTGTACACTGGGTACATCATTAAAAGCAAACACATACTTCAGGATTCAGAATATTGTATCAATGTCCCCCAAAGGGTTGAACTACTGACTCTCCTCAGGAAGCAACCCTAACTCTCAGGTACCTATTTACTGCTTGGTGAACAGAGACACTAGGTAAAAGGAAATATTCCCATCCATTTATGTCCAGCCCAAGAATTGAACCTGGGATTCCCAATTGTGAACCGAGAATGAAGTCAACTCTACTATGAGATTTAAATACTGTGCGACTGTCAAATTATAGGTTTCTTAATGTGCCCATTTTACAATCTTAAAAGAATCTGTTATAGAACAATACCATTGCTGTGTGGAGTTGTATCCCAACCTTGATGGGGGTCAATACTCATGCCTATGTACTTAATCATAGAAGTATGTGTGTGTGTATGTTTGTTAACATACTGCATATATACAGGAAGAATTTTATTTTTATCAACTAGAATGTTCAGTAATATGTTGTTGTATTGTGATGTGTGAATATATATGAACACATTGTACTTAACAGGGTGAGTATAGCTTGAGCTACCTCATCACTTTGTGTGTATTTATACCTCAATAAACTTATTTCAATTTCAAATGCAGTGTGCATTGCAATGGAAAAACCCACTTGCTGTTTACCTTCCTAAAAATCAACTTTCCCCCCCCCCCCCTTAAATAGTTGCACTTTTAACCAAATTTACATTATATGCCATTAGCTTACCTTGCCTTTGGTTACATCAAGTGATATTTGCATGAAGTATGTTTGAAAATGTTAAGTTGTACCATACATAAAAGGTGGGACCAAACAGCCAAAGATCAACCCCCATATGAACTACTAGGAGAGTACGGGCTACACACCAACAAATGTCACACAGTGATCCAAATCAAAGCACAGTTAGATATAGGGTTTGCTTAAATCTTGATGTTAATTCTCTGTTTGTGATATTAATCTCATTTATTGTGATGTTAATTTATGATTTATATAAATCCCCTCCTCATGGTGGAAATCCCTAGCTTGTGAAGGAAATCCCCCTGCTTGCAAAGGTAATCCCCCCTGCTTGCAGAGGTAATCCCTTGTTTGTGAAGGTTATCCTTAGCTTGTGAAGGTTATCCTTAGCTTGTGAAGGTTATCCTTAGCTTGTGAAGGTTATCCTTAGCTTGTGAAGGTTATCCTAGCTTGTAAAGATAATACCCATGCTTGTGAAGGCAATAACCCTGCTTGTAAAGATAATACCCATGCTTGTGAAGGTTATCCTTAGCTTGTAAAGATAATACCCATGCTAGTGAAGGTAATAACCCTGCTTGTGAATGTAATCCTCCTGCTTTTGGAGATAATTTAATGCTTGTACATGTAATCCCCACTGCTTGCGACAGTAGTCCTTTGCTTGCCAGTATAATACTAACACACTAATGAAATCAAACGCGGAAAAACTGCACGATAAATACTCAAAGCCCACTTAGAGTCTTATATAGAAGTATTATCGTCTTGTATTTACTGAATGAGGGGTCGAAATATGAATGATCAGCTGCTGCTTACCCTCTCCCACAAGCCAGTTTGTTTACGTTGGAGTTACTATGGCGACCGCCAGATGGCAGGATGAGCGCATCACCTGCCATGATTATTTTATATATATTTTTTTAATTTGGCCCTGAGGGTGAGGGATATATATTTATTTATTATCAATATTTGTTGGGTGGCATTAGTCATCTTTATAAAGAATATAAATCAATAGGAGCTTTTACAAAATTTCCCAATGGGACAAGGTTGCCAAATCTAAATTGCTGAAAGTAGCGAGCTGACGGTCTAAAAGTAGCGAATTTGTAATAAGAGTAGCCCAATTCTTTTTAGTGAATGATATGGGTTTCAAAGTAATATATTTTGATGTATAGAGTACACTACACGATGTTAATTGTGTATTTCTGCACATACACACACACACATATTATATATATATATATATATATATATATATATATATATATATATATATATATATATATATATATATATATATATATATATATATATATATATAAAAGTTTGTGAGGGTACCACCTCTGGTGCCAATGTGGGGACCCATAGCCTCGGAGAAGAAAATAAAAAGTATTCAGAGGAGACCTTGTGGTTTCTCACTGAACACTAATATTATCTTCTCCTACCACCCCCATTCTTTTGTATGTACACATATATATTTACTTTATTTGAACTTTGTTACAAAAAAGGAGTTACATATGGGTTACAAAGATGGTTATCATAGGTTGTCGAGTTCCTCCAGCTCCTCAGATGGCGGGCAGGAACCCTGGATGCAGTGCGCATTTCCCCTCTGTATCGCCACACTGAGGCGCTGGAAAAGAAAGCTTGCAGCTCTCGGGTCCCTTGTTGTTTCAATGAGCCTAGAACCCAGTTCCTTCAAAAAACTGGTAGCACTTTTACCCCAGGCGCCGAGTGTCTCAGAAGCAATGGGGACAAAATTGTAATGGTGATCCAGTTCTCTATACTTACGGGATTTGGCTGCTTACGGGATTTGGCTGCTTCCCTGTGGGTGGCAGCGCCACCTGGTTGTGCAACACTGAGGTTAATGTAGGTGTTAGCCAGGGTTGATACGCACGTGTAGTCCCATACCAACTGCTTGCCATTCTTCCAGGGGTTCACTGTGATACCATCCGGGCGACCAATAAGAGCATCAGAGTTACGGGGCGTTAGGTAACGGGGCTCTCTTTCAGCTGGGCATCCAGCTGTGGTGAGGCTCCTCTTCATGATGTCGTTAACTTCACTGTGCCTCGAGTGCCATCCTCCTGTGCTTTGGCAGAGTAGGCCATGGTGGCCGTACCTGTCAGCCACCACCTCGCCGCAAATACACCTATATCTGGTGTGGATTGGGGCAGCAAGGCGGAGGGCCACAGCAATTCGGAGGGCGTGTGGTGTGAGACGCGTGCCAGTTGCCGACATTGGGGTTGCTAACAGGAAATCCCCTGCATGTGGTGCTGCTACTGCTGTGAGGCGAGCAATGTCGTGTTGTGTTGTTGCAGTACCCAGGCACTCTGCAGCAACTTGATCTACAATGGGACCATCCCAGCTGGATTGCTTGTGGGCTTTTGGGGATGGTGGTTGAGGTGATTGGCCTGCATGAGAGGCCCACTCTGTGGCACAGCGTGTAAAATTGGGATCATGTACACCTGCCAGCTGATGTAAGTGGGCAGGTAGAATTTCCTTCACAAGGTCGTCGGATGCTGATAAGGAGGACAGGAAAGCTGGAACAGCGATTTGCGTTGCTGTTCGAACTCCGAGGCCCCCAAGTCTTACGGGAAGAGAGGCTTGTTTCCACTGTAGGTCATCGAGAGAGAGGTTAAGGGCTTTTTCTAGCATTGATTTCAGTAACCGGTCATACTCATTTAGTTTTTGGCTACTGTAAGATGGTGAACACCTCAGAAAGTAGGTTAACCTGGGGAGGGACAGACATCTGGTGATGAGGTAGAGTGCATCATGAGCATCAATATCCTCAATCCTCCCATCCATCCTCTTAAGGTCGGCGATTTTCTTATCAAGGACCTCATCGATGGCTTTCAACCCCAGGGGAGCTCCTAGGAGTGTGCTGTCTTCAGGTTTAGTTTTATGGATATTTGGCATTAGACCCTCTATTCTCTCTACGATGCCCTGGTTGGAACATATTATTTCACATTTAGAAGGGTTCAGGGTGAGGCCTAAAACTGCACCTTGCTCCTGGATTTTTCTGATGTCCTCCAGGAGGGAGTGGGTTTCCAGGCTTGTGTGTCTTGACATTTCCATACACATACCCAGGTTTGTATTCCCCAATAATCTTTGGCAGGTGGAGTCCGGATTTCTTGGCGTTCACAGTTTCGATCAATCTGTTTACCTTTGTTTTCAATTCGGCTGTAGTGTTCTTTGTTACCCTTTGGAATTTAGTTTGGTCAGAGAGTATGAGGTTCATTTTCCCCAGAAAATGAACCTCATTTGTTTCTCCCTGTGAAGATTATTAACAACAGTGATTATAAGGGCGCGAAAGTTCAGCCTGGCCAGGGCCGCCAGCAGCCCTTGGGCCCGCCCCGGCAGCACCCAGTCTTTAATTTAGCACCTTTGTGGGACCTTTGTGGGACCTTGGTATAAGCATAACATGTATATATACACTGGCTGCCTGTCCCCCTACACAACGATTCATTATTACCTATTATTTTATCATTTAATTTAAATATTAAATAAAATAATTTATTTAATTATTATAGTAAGTACTTAATAATTTAATAATAAGTAATAAGTACATAAAATAATTAAAAAGTACAGGTTAGTCATAGGAGATTCCTAGATTAGAATTCACTACCAAATATCAATATATCCAAGTATTTTTAGTGTGACATGCTGTTATTATATGCATAAATTGTTGTTTTAATAATATTACGCTTAACCACTTGGGCTGGACGGTAGAGCGACGGTCTCGTTTCCTACAGGTCCGCGTTCAATCCCCAACCACCCAAGAGGTTGGGCACCATTCCTTTCCCCCGTTCCATCCCAAATCCTTATCCAGATCCCTTCCGAGTGCTATATAGTCGTAATGGCTTGGCGCTTTCACTTGATAGTTCCCCCACCCCTCTGAATAATATTACGAGAGCAGTATTTACGGGCTATTCATGCCCGTGCCACCTCTTGGGGGGCTTAATCTTCATCAATCGAGAGCAGTACGTCCTAACCAGACATTATATGTTGATATCCCTGAACAGTTGATAAATAAAAGTAATTGCGTAACTCCAGTTATCTAATACTTATCATAAATGGTATAAAACCTTATTATAAGCCAAGGGATTTGTAGATCAGTGTTTAAAGGAAATTCGGAAGTAATAAGAACACAGCTGATGCCATCTGTCGGCAGAAGAGAACACTATCAACTGGCTGGTCAACAGTGGCCATAAGATACAGCTTACGCCATCTGTTGACATCAAATTACACTTATAACAAATTACCCCACAAAATACCACTAACGCCATCTAGTTTTTTTCCAACGCACTATAAATAGCCAAACAGCAACCCATAAGGCGGGTTGTTGTGCTCGGGTAGGAAGTTCCAAGCTCCGCCCACAGATGGTATGGGGTGCATAATAAATGGCGTATCATTGGTAGAAACTCTTTGTTGACATTCACACAACAGCCAATCACAGGATTGGATCAGCTAAAGGCTCCATGCACTTAATAAATCATCTTTATTCAGCACACCATCCTTGCTTATGACATTCTGCTTCAACTTTTATCTACCTAAAAAGTGAAATGTTAAGTATTTAAAAGTATTAATATAGTGATAATTAAATACTGCAGGATGTAACGAGTGTTACAGAAACATGGGCTGGCTACCTAGCTTTTGACGTCATCAGTGGGTGTTGCCTCACACAAATAATATCGGCGATATAATGCCTCCGCCCAGCTCTTATTGGTCTACATTATTCAGTTAGATGGAAATTTCTGTCTTGTATAAAACAGAAATTGTTGTTCTTTTGTACAACAACAACAAGGTTATTGAGCAAAAGGGCGTATTTCTTATTTTGCATTTTATTCATATATGCGTTGGCATTCCCGGCAACAGCCAATCACAGGAAGGTATTTGTTGGAAATTCTGCTTTCAACAACGTTGATTCCTAATGAACTCTAATAATAAATTCGTTTAATAAACGAGTATTTAGGGTCAAGCTACAGATGAACATTATAGGATAACGGTGTTTTAGCTTGCAGCTTCGTTAGACAGAATCCCTGGTCTTAATTTAAAAAATAAAGAACTAAAAAGCGTATTTTATTGCTAACTTTTCGAGAAATAAATCCCAGCCTCATATTTGCGATCATTTATGCATTGTTTTTTTGGCTTAAGTTCTTATCATAATCCCTTTTGCAATCTCAACACCATCTGGCTCGTATCTTGTAACTATCTTCGTTACTTAGCCTCAAAACCTTACATTTGTCTTACATATCCTCAACAGTAGATAAAAAAAAGTAATTGCAGAATTCTAGTTACAAATAACAAATACAAATTTTTATTCAGGTAAAGTATATACATACAAGGTAAGATACAAAAGTTGATGGATTTATAGAGAGAACTAGTACATACAAAGCCTAAAACCACTATTACGCAAAGCGTTTCGGGCAGGAAAAACACTAAGACTAAAACTTAATACTAATTGAGATTAAAGTATAAATTGTGTTGAGAATATCTAATACCCGCACGGTATAAAACCGTATTATAAGCTACCAGACGTATAGATCAGTGTTTAAAGTAATAATAATACATTATTATTAATGTAATAATATTATTAAAATAATAATAATACAGCTGATGCAATCTGTCGGCAGATAGAACACTATCAACTGGCTGGTCAACAGTGGCCATAAGATACAGCTTTCGCCATCTGTTGACATCAAATTACACTTATAACAAATTACCCTGTATTTATATTTACAAGTTTCTGTGCTTGGAAGAAAACTCTGCATTGAATTGGGACTAATTTATTAAATAATATTATTTAGTATTAATTAATATTTACAATTATTATTAATTACAATTATTTATAGCTTAGTTACTTTCATGTAACTCGCAATCGTACATTCTTAACATTAATAGCCCAAATTAGCACATCTTGCTTTTAAATTAGCCCAAAAAGTAGCAAGTAGTGAAATTAAAAATTTGGGAGCGCGGGGCCCTCAAAAGTAGCCCAATTCGCTACTTGTAGCCCAATCTGGCACCACTGCAATGGGAAGAAAACCCGATCAAGACTTCTTCAGCTAACAGATGCCAATGAACCTATAATAATATACCTTCTATCTTCTCAGCCATTATATTATTACCTGCTTGTACCGTGCTTTATAAAGCCGACAATTTCTAAATTAATACAAGTATGAAAGTTACAATTAGGAAAGGCAAGGAACTAATCTTCACGTCATTATGGAAGAGAAAAATAAAACAGGAAAGACATGATTACCACATACACATACTAGTCATGGTGGCAGGCTCCATACATTTTTAAATGTAGATACTGTACTTTCCATAAATAAACATTTATTAAATGATTGATTGATAAACCCGGATTTTAAAAGAACGAATCCGGATAGTTCAATGGATAATCCGGATTGTCGTCTGCAGGAGGTTGCCGGTGTTGCATCATCGAGCAGCTGGTAAACAAACGGGGTTGAGAGGGAATATACCGGTTGTGGAGTTATATTGTGTAAGGTGGGTGGTGTGTGCCAGCACAGGCCACACCACCGTCACTGTACCGGTGTGGTGGGCGGCCCTGGCCGGTGGCCCACCTGAGGGAGCAGTAGTACCTGGTCTACTATATGTTGACTACCGATCGATTGAATACTGAATCATCCTCCCTCGTAGATATTTGTTTTTTTATAACTAGTTCAAACGCAAAATTTGTATGTTTCATATATATAAATTATTGGACAGTATTAAAACCAAAATATAATGCTATTAACTGTTCAAAGTTTCTATTTAGCAGATACATATATTATTTTATTTTATGATATATATATATATATATATATATATATATATATATATATATATATATATATATATATATATATATATATATATATATATATATATATATACGGAAAATCCACAGAGAAATATGAAATGAGGTGAACGTTTCAAAAGGTCTGATTAGGTTGTGTATCAGTCACACAAGTCAAACTTGCAGGCATTTAATGGAATGATATCCTGCTCCAACAAATAAACATTTATTTTGATTAGTATTAATCTTATAACAAAATATAACTTAAAACAAGAAAGAAGAGCAGACATGACTGTAGAAAGACTGTAACGGGATAGAACAAAGCAGCACAAGGACCTAGTTGGACATAATGTAGGATAGCTGGAATATGGCATTGGAACAAATTTATTACAGTATCTTGCTCTCTGTTGGAGGGAATGCACAGGTAAACTGGAAGAATTACTAAATAGATTCTAGTTAATATTAGATGTAATTAAAAAAAAGGAGGGACTCGTATATGTACTCGCCTAATTGTGCTCACAGGAGTTGAGCTTTGGCCCTGTTGGTGGAGAGTTGTTGCAAGTACAATACAGTACTGTACCGTACTGTACTGTATTTTCATTTTAAGTAAAATTCCACTTGTCTCACTATTTTATTTCTAAAAAAATATATATATATTTTTATATGAAAATACTGTAATATAAAACAAAATCTGATTCACTGATAACGATTTTGGAGTCTATAATTTTATCTTAATTTCATAAAAAGAATCTGTATTTTTATACCTATAATCCCATCCCTAAAGTGGTCACATTGCTCATCTCTGTTTTTTTATTCTGATAGGTATAAGTATAGAACATGATAAATAAAAACATGTCTACTCATGTGTAAATGCTATTTTTCTGTTTTGCAGATAACAAAAAGGGTTTTATATTCCATCAGAAGATGGTAGAACTGAGCACAGTTGCTATTGGATTGTTCCTCTCTCTTGAAGTTGGATACTTTCTTAAAGCTGCCATATATGGCATCACCTCCAAGTTTTTCCTATCAAGAATTAATGCTTTGTCACCATCAACATTATATGGTAAATAATTTGTCCTCTTTAAATATGATATCTACTGTATAAATATAGTTCCTAATGCTTAATCGTCATGTTGTTATGTGATGTTAATGAATACTTTCATAACAAATATTGATCTTACTATTTTTTCTGAATAAGAGTATGTACATTTGTTAATTTTCATATTATTAGAGTTTTCCCTAGTGAAGATCATTCCATAAATGGTACAACATTGATGCTCTTCATCGAGCATTCATCCAAGACTTCTGGACATGTTACCATTTCTTATGAAACAACCTGGGTTTAAGTTATTTCCCAGGGGTGTGATATTGTGGTGTGCATAATGTTTAAAAAATTATGTTTCAATCAGCTGCAGAAATCTGCAAGCACAATACAATATTCAAAGAATTACTCAAGATTCATTTTTGTTTTGTCAGTTCAATGATGATTTTTGTATGCAAGGCAGATAGTTGAGACAGTTAAAACTACCATCAAGACAGTAGTAAAATATTTTCTATGTTGATGAAGTTTAGATAAAACTAGGATTATAGGTATAAGATTTTAAAGACAGTGTTGTTGCAAGCAAAACTTGGAAGTTAGTTTAGATTTTTGGATGGCAATATGTTTAATAAGAAAGATGTTGATCATACAGGCACTTCTGATGTAATGATCAACAGATGCTAAGATCACATTTTAGATAACAATTAAGGATATACAGACCTACTGGTAGGGGGGGGGCGGAGGAGTTGGATATACTAGTCTAATGTTAGTTTTGGTGACAACAAACACACAATATGGTAATTAATTATGTAAATGATATAATTTGGTTACATAAGTTGGTAAGTCAATATTGTGACTGGCTGAGCCATGGTGTGCTACTGATGAATGGTGGTAGTGGTAGAGATGGCAGCGTCTGGTTAGGTGGTTCCTCATACGTATATCTGAAGTGTTGTTGTTTAACTTGGTTTTATACATACAGTACTAGTTTAAGATGGCACATGAAAAGCTCCTAGGGAAATTAAAATAATTAAAGTACAGTACAATACTGAATCCTTAATTTATTTTAAATTAAACACTGACAAGTAATGACACTCATTTCCAGGCATATGCACAACCCGTGACATAGACTTCATGCTCAACCATATAAACAATGCACGATATCTCCGTGCCATGGACTTTGGCAGAGTAGACCATTGCCTCCGTGCTGGAATATACCAGGCCGTGGCAATGCAAAAGGCAAAATTGCTAGTTGCTGCCAGCACCATTAGGTACCGCAAGCCTGTGTACTTATTTATGCCTTACAGGCTTCATTCTCAGGTGAGTGAAAAAAAAGTGTCGTAGTTATTATGACGATATTATTGGGTCACTTATGTTTTGTTATAAGCTTATGGCTATGTAATGTTTGTTTTGTGTTTATTTATTGAGGCTTCTTTTCAATGTGTTGAGAAGGCCTCAATGTATTGGCTTAGAACTTAAAATACTTAACTTTAAGCAAAAATGTATGGCGATTATAGAAATTGAACAATGTAGCTTCATAGCTGCTTCAGTACTGAGTATACTGTACATATATATTTTTAGTTCTCATGTGATAACTAGAGAAAAGGCTGGTTGTATTAATGTGTGATCATAAAAGTAAGGTTCCATTGGTTATTAGACTGTAGCAATATAACAACTGGGTTGTTTTCCCGAGAGATTTTTTTAAACTGAAAACGTTGAGTCCAAAGTATAAACTATCAGCAACGATAAAAAAAATCAATCAAGAATAGCTAACCAAATCACCAGTTTGCCAGTACATCACAACCCCCCCCACATCATCCCAATAAAACCTCTTGTCAGTACTAATCCACACCATCTTTACAACTCAATGCCTTCATCCCCCTTACTCATTATCCTCATTCCCCTTACTCATTACCCTCAACCCTCTTACTCATTACCCTCCAGTCACTGTACCTATTAGCCCACCACCAAATACTGTATCACTAGATCACCAAAGAAATCACTTCAAGCAGGTGAGCATCCTACTGCTAGTGTGGTAAATCATAGACATATTCCTGTATGGAGAAATGGATATGTACTCTTCTAATCCCATTCATATAAAAGATTTTCATATTGTAATGTTAAAGTCAGTATCAATAAATTAACTAGTTTGTTTTATTATTGCAAAATATGTGATGGATATAGTTACAATTACAATGAATTGTTTGTATGTAATCAAACTCAACGTGACATCCAACCCACATTTCTGAAAATAGAGAACTGACGATGTTTCAGTTCATCCTTTGTCCAGGACAGACTGAAATGTCATCGGTTTCTCATTTTCAGATGTGTGAGTTGAATGTTAACTCTTCAGCCATGTTATTGTGACTCATCATCTACACAATTGACTTGTTTTCTTTTAGCTTGTGTACTGGGATGACAGAAACCTGTACTACCGTCAGGACTTCGAGACCATACATGATAACTTTCTTCGAACAACTGCCTATGTTAAATTGGCAGTGGTAGGATCAAAGGCAGAAGAAATACTGCTTTCTGCTCTGCCAGAAGGTCTAGAACGACCCGAAGCCCCAGAGGATCTGCTTTCATGGATACAGTATAATCAGCAAAGCAGCCACTCTCTCAAAAAACATCAATAAATTCATATTTAGCAGAATTTATTGATTAACTATTTATGTCTATTTATGTAGAAAGGTATTAACCTAGTTATACTCAATAATACAGAATTAGGTTAAAAGCTTTAGTGCACAATAATAGTATTACAGTAATAATTTAATTTTTATAGATAATGCTTTACCCTCTCTTACTTAAAGAATAAAACTATAGTTCATTTTCTGTATGTATCTATAAGGCAATTATGCTTTTGTCCAAATTCTTGTTTCATGCCATTTAGTTCCAAACAATAGTTTTTACTATTACACTCCAAAAATAAATATTATAAGGTCAGGAGGTGGGAATTTTGAGAATGGGGAAGGGATGAGGGAATTTATTTTATAGCCTATTAATTTATTAAAATATAGGGATATTTCATGCTGCGATTTGAAAATGGTATGCAAATATTTTAACAAAAGTGAAGAAATGTATGGTTGGTGGGAAAGTTTAGAAAAGTCTAAGTCAAAACCAGAAACTTTTCTGTGATTACCCCTTAATAACTACCGGTGCATTCAGCTCTGGTACCAGACCTCTGGACTTTCCTAGATCTATCAAACACCGGGAACAGAAAAGTGTATTCTTATTGAGGCAAGGGAAGTGAGGAGATCAGAGATCAACACAATAACAAAAAACTTCCCATAACATAGAGGCAAATCAAAATAAACCACAAATTTTGATTAGAAAAAGAAAGAACAGAAAGTGTAGGAAACCATAGTTTAGTGATGGTCACCCAGGGGTCCAAGAAGCCAACAACCTCGCTCACATGCCATATACCAACAACCTCAGAAACACCAGCTTCTGAGGTTACCTAATCTTGTGTTCTCTGGATAACTGGTGTAGCATTCCTAGGGAGGCTGTTGTCCCACTAAGGTCTGCTTTGTGTCTTGTTCCAAGTTACACTTCCCAACTGTGTTTATGCTACCTCCCTTACATTATTAACTCTCTCCATCTTTGCTTTATGGCTCGTTTTCTTTACCATCAGCTCATTTGTTCAGTTTCTTTAACAGAATTACTGTACCTTCTTTGAAAGGTTTTGGTTTTCCCTCTCGAGTTGCCCCAGTGACTGAGTAGTACTGTACTTAGGACTTAGTCGTCTGGGCCAGACCTGTTGATGGGAGTGAAATAGGATTGCCGTTTGGCAACACGGCTTGCTTTGGTGCTTTCTGCATTCAGCCCAGAATCTATTGGGTCATGATTTAGGATTCCTTTGTTATATAAACTCATTACCATTATACATATTTCCTTGACAATTGTTATTATGGTTGGTGGGAAAAACTTAGATTTACTAGATCTGGCATCACTTTCACTGCATTTGGCATGTCCAGCTGTTCTTTAATTGTCTACAAAGCCAATTCTCATTGCACTTGAAGGTTGTTTGTCATTCCTCTTTTGGTTGTCATAATATACAGTATTCCCAAACTAATTCTATATTACATGATATAAACATATTTAAAATAAACACCAGATATGGCAACCTTCATATGCTGAATTACAGAAACCAGTTTAGTGTTTTAAAACTCTGACAGTCTTTCCTGTTGCCTTATATCACTCCCAATTTATTTTTTGGTCTCCTTTAGGCTCTAGGTTTTTGGTAGTCTGCATGGGTGTTGTCCCATGTTCTTTCCTAGATGAGCACAGCAGGTTCAGTTGCTGGTGCTCAGGAGGCCTGCACAAGAAGCATGTGTGTGTTTATCCGTGATACCAGAGCGCAATGCGCTGGAGGGCTGCCAAGAAAAGGTAATTTCATTACTTACAATTTAGCTTAATTATGTATTTATTTTTTCCAAACTGGTGTGCCAAGGTGAATTAACTATTTCAGTCACAATGTGATTTTGTATTTATTGATATATTTATTTATTAAAAATAGATGCTAATACAAGAGACAAAGTTGCAGGAGGGGCAGGACCTCCATAAATCATTTTATTCTTATTGATTAAAAACCCTTGTCATTTATTGCTGCATGCAACATAGCAACTGTGTTCTAAATGGTTGGTTCATAATAAGTTACAACACTGATTACCATTTCATACAAATAAGTGTGTTGCTTTGATTCAAGTTGTAGATACACTTGCTAGCTGCTGTGTGCCAATGTCCCTCCCACTTGTGTGGTGCTGGTTGTGCCTGATGTGATTGCGTGCTTGTGAGTGATACTGAGGATCAGCATGACATCAGGCAGAGCTATATATAAGATATACCATATATCTTTGGTATATGATTTTATGTATCGGTCGACTTTTATCACTTGTATTTTGTTATCATCATTTTCATGCATTTTTGATGATTTACATAATTATAATAATGTATTTTTATATAGTTTATATATATATATATACACACATACATATTTGGTTTATGTACAAATGTGAATGAATAGATATATGTGTATACAGTATATATTTATAGTTAGTACAGTATTTATAACAATAAGCACATAAAATCAAAGCAACCAATATGTATATATATTTAGTATTTGGCAGCACATGGATTCTTCCCAAGCACATTAAAAAGGGATGATGATGATGATGATAATGCTAATGTACAATAATATTGCAGACTCGCCAGATGGTGTGCAACTTGCAGATATGCAGGTCTGTACATGGTTCATGGTACAGTAGTTTTTGGCATATGTGTCATTCTTTTCCAAATTGCTTTTCCAACACTTTGAAAACGTGAACATTGAGAAAAGACCAAGAAGATAAATATATAATAATTAAAGAGCTAAATATTGCTTACAAATATTATTAATTTCAATATAATTATTTCTGTTTCCATTTATTGTGTTTTAAATCTGTGTGGTGTTTGTAAACAAATGTCAATACCAATGGTAGAAAGAACAAAATAAGACTTTGCATGTTTAATAATGCAAGACCTTGCATGTGGGACCTTACCTTGAGGTTACCTTGAGGTGCTTCCGGGGCTCAGCGTCCCCGCGGCCCGGTCGTCGACCAGGCCTCCTGGTTGCTGGACTGATCAACCAGGCTGTTAGACGCGGCTGCTCGCAGCCTGACGTATGAGTCACAGCCTGGTTGATCAGGTATCCTTTGGAGATAATCCACATCATAATTACCAAATTAACAACATTACCTTACAGCAGATTAATGAATAAAAAGGACCATGAAGTTAGAATCCATCATTCACTGAAAGTTGCACAAGTGGGAGCTGCAGTAAAAAAGCTAACAAAATCCTATAAATAATCAAGCGAACATTTGACTTCAAAGAAAAGAAGGTAGTTATTCAACTGTATAAATCTCTGGTGCTTCCCCACTTGGATTGTTGTATCCAAGCTTGGAGACCTCATTGTTCATAGAGAAAGACATAGCTGCTTTGGAGAAAGTTCAATACCGGGCAACAAAAGTCATTCCAGATCTAAGTCGACTCTTGTACCAAGAAAGGTTGAGGGGTCACAGAGCTAATAACACTGCACACCAGACATGACAGGGCTGATGTTATCGAAACTTAAAATACTAAACAATTTGGAGGATATTGATCCAGACAACTTCAAAGGGTCAGATGTAACAAAGAGCAATGGTTTCAAACTCAACAAGCCACAATGCAGGACAGAAAACAGGAGATGCTTTTTTCTCCCATAGGGTTATAAACCCATGGAACTGCCTATCTGCAGAAGCCATTAATATCAAAACTGCTGAATTTTAAAATCCAGCTGATAAAAATTAAGACAAATGGGAAGACCTTTGACAAGCTGCCGGCTTCCTGTCCTTGTCGAGGCCACTAAAGAAATAGTGGCCCTGAAGTAAATAGTGCCATAGCATGTAGCAACATATAGGGCAACCAAATATTAATATAATATCACCTTGAATACTGTTCCTCATTTGCAAGATTCTCTCTCAGTTCACATTGGCAATGTCTCTTTTGTTGCTCCTACTTTGCCCCCCCCCCCCATGGAGGGGTCCTTCTTGTGAAATTTTGCAAACCCCTGTCCCACATGGTGAAGGCTTAATAACACTCATCCTACATTGTTGTTTTTCACAACCACACCTATATGTGCTGCCTTTTCCAGGGGACAAGCATCTTCATGGCAGAACTTTATGAAATTTTGGGTGCTAATATCGTCATCTGCTTTCTCTGACTCAATGTTCCATTGTGATTGACTCTTGCAGTACCCTCATGGCTCTTGGGAGGACTTTAACCCTTTCATCCTGAGGTGGACGACATTCATTACTTCCCAGCCATATTGGCGTTACCTTGAATGAACTTGCAGATGCCTCCATCAAGGAGGCCATTTCGTCCTTGCACTATTTTGTAGAAAGGGATTCTTTATTCCGATTTCTACCTGGTCATTCATTCTGCAATCTATGGCTGTTAACAGGATCATTTGGTGGGCATTAAACTAAATGCTCTTAAAAGTGACCTTTCCCCTTGGCCTTACTTTTACTAGTTTAATAGATGATAGAAAATGACTTTGGCTAGAATGCTTAACAGTTACTTTACACCTGTATAACTCGTGGTCACCAAATGGAACAACATCCTGCTCTCTTTAGTCCAAACTGTATTGTCCCATTTACAGTCATGTACCTCCTGATAGAATGCCCTAATTTTAGGGATGACTTATGTCATGCTTTCCTACTCTTCCTAGGAATTATTTGTCCCTCGTTAGAATCCTTGATAAATCCGATGCCTTTGAAATTGTTCACCTTCCTTCTGTTGTTGTATAGGAATCTTGGGTGATACTATATTTTGTGCCTCTTGCACATCTAGTATATTTTGAATACCTAACAGCAAAGATGGTGCTCTATAGTTTTTCCGGCTAAGCGCTTTCTTTTGATAATTACTTGAACTCTGTTCAGGTTAAATAGTATTCTTGAAAATAATGTGCTTATTCTTTGATTTTTTGTATGCTTTTATGTTATCACTTACTTTTTTGGCTCATAAAAAATATTGTAAATCATTAGTGAATAGATGGAAAGATGATCTGGAAAGTTAAAGGTCAAATTAGGGGGTAACAATCATTTATCACACATCAAAGTCAGCCACCATTTGGCTGTCAACTGGTATCAGCATTTACTATAAAACATACATACATAACGACATAATAAAATCATTGTTTTTCAGGGATCAGGCTGAAACTTAGGGTATTAGTACCTCATAGTTGTAGGTTTATTTCATGACATAGTCATGAATAATATTGCATAATGATAATTTTTGTTATTATATATATATATATTTTGGGGAGGAGAGATTATTAATATATAAATATAAAGTTTTTAATTGATATACAGGTGTTGATTGCCAGTACATTGTAGATTTAAGTTTACTGCAAGAATCCAGTGCTGAATGACACTGGTTGTGACTTGCAACTGCCATGTTAGTTGTAGGAAAATATTACTAATAAATGGATATATTTTTGTTTATTGTAATATTTAGTTCACCTTTATTAACAATATAGTAAAAAATGTGTATTAAAATATATAGTGCTGAGTGTTTATTTAGCTTACGATGTGTACAGAGCACTAATTGTAAGATTATTTATACCGGTTAGTATGCTATATAGTCATACTGGATTAGTGCTCAATTTTGATCATTTAGCCTATTAGCTGTTTGACCATGTTATGGCACTGCATCTGTGACATACATATTGCTTCTTATAAATGCTTGTGTTTTTAGTTAATCATTCCATGTAACTACAGTACTTTGTCATTTTACAACAAATCATTCCTAGCAAATGTCATGTATTAGTTTAATTTCCAGAGTAATTTTAGACCTAGGTCAGATTATGTTTGTTCTGACAACCCTTGAGAATCTCTGTGTACAGTAATATCATCCCTTGCAGATGATGCTAGTCTTTCAATCTCACAGTATCCTTAAGGTACTTTTTTTTCCTTCAATTTCACTCATTACTTTTAGTACTTAATGTAATCTCATAGTGCAACATGGTTGTGATTGTATACCAAAGTGTTTAAATACAATATGAGGATCTGAAGGTGTCCAATGATCATGCAAATCTTGTATTTTTATCCCAATTTTAGTACTGTATTATGGAAGGCATCATAATGCAAAAAAATATACAGTATGGTGGTTAGAAATTCAGTGTTATTATTAGTTAATGTTCAACAAGATAGTGATATACTGTCATTGTTTTGATACATGCTACATTGATTTTTAAAGGGAAATTAATTTATACTAATATAAAATCTAGATGTAAGCCTTATAAGCTTTGTACAGTATATAGCTTAGCACTTTTTCATAATTACTCAAGTAAATACAGCTGGTATTAAAGTTTTTAATCAATTAAATTTAAACATAATGATTACCTTTATAGTTGAACCTTGATAAATCATATCAAGATAAAATTAAGGCAAGATATTTCACATTGTGAAATTATGTAAAACTCCCTCAGTACGAGGAAAGAGCAAGTCTTATGGTTACGTTCTTGTGCTGAGCTCTGGGGCATGCAATAGAGGCAATGTCTGTGCCCACACAACATCCAAATAAATAATATACATGGCAATGAAGAGATACACTGTGTGATAATACAGAACAAAGCAGGCTGCAGTACCTGGCACAAATTCCATCTTAGTGCTCTATTAGCAAAACTAGCTATTAAGGGTAAAATTGTCCTCGGCAGACAAAGATTATGAAACTACTAATACTGGTTGCTTCTTGAGGACAGTGTCTGTCTGTCCAAAGTTGCAGGGCAGACACTTAAATACAAATACAAATATTTATTCAGGTAAAGTACATACATACAAGGTAAGATACAAAAGTTGATGGATTTATAGAAAGAGCTGGTACATACAATACTTGGGGCTAGCCTTTTCCAAATTTGTAAGGGAAATTGAATAAAGGTATGGGATGAATATAGGCTGGACAGGTTAGGCCTGTTATATGATTTAAGAAATAAAAGTAATTATTGACACCACCCCTATCCGATTCTCATGAACTCAATTCCGGTCGTGTGAAATATGGGTTGAGATGCCCAAAGACTTTTTCAATATAAAAAATAATTTCTTATACAGTACTGTAGTTTTATTGCTCCCTAATATTGTATGAAAGGGAAGAAGGGTTCTGGGAAGGACGAGCGGAGAGTGAAATGGTGGGGATGATGAGGGAACATAAGTGAAGGATGGAGATAATGAGTGGAGGGTACCCGGGCAATGCAGGCTAACCCTCGTCGTGTGTGTACTTTATATACTGTATAATATATGTATATATATGTGTGTGTATATATATATATATATATATATATATATATATATATATATATATATATATATATATATATATATATATATTACTGGACAATTTTAAATGTTTATTAAACCATGCAATACAGTAGGACACAACAGGCATTGTCAATAAGGTTACCGGACAGTAGGAGAGAGCTTCACTGAATTAGGAAATAAATACAATGTAGTCTGCAGGATTGTCTATTTTTAACTTCCTTTGACCTCTAACCTTGACTGACAATTAATGTTCCTGCCGTTTATTCAATAAAACGCATTAAAAGCTTAATTTCTATCACCGTGTACAGAAAACACCTTCGCTACAGGAAAGCATGATACAAATTATGTACTAAAAATATACTTTAGTGAAAATATATTTGACTATGTCCTGGATGACCTTGAATGTTCTCTAGCGGTCGGCGGCGTCGTCTGCTGTGCGTGTCTCGGCCTCTTGCACGAGGCTACAAGTATCCATTATTGTACTTAACCTTAAATCCCAAATAGTGTTAGCCATAACCGGAATCCTTTTCACCTTAAAATATATCTGTTAATCGGAATAAGTTATTCGAATCGCATTTCATAGTAAAAAATGGAAGTTAGAATGGATGAAGCTGTTGTCAGATCGAAGGGTTGGGACAATGGAAACAGCTGATTGTGTTGTTGTGTTAAGGTGAATGTGTTGCTGTGCTGCTGCTCCTGTCTCCCTCTCCCAGCTGCACTCCTGCCTCCACCCAGTCTAGATGTCTCTCGCGGTTTACTCCAAGTCAACCACACCCTTCGAGGGTCAGAAGCCAGGTACCAGCGGCCTTAGGAAAGCTGTTAAAGTATTCCAACAGGCAAGTTAACTAGAGACTCAGTCCATCTCTGGTCCATCATTTTAACATCACAAAGCTTTAAACCCATAAATTTTCTCAAACTTTATTATTATAATGCACCATTAGTCATTGAAAGAATTTAAGAATCAATTTCCTAAGTTTTAAGAATCCCGTTTCCTAATTTGGCAAGCATTTATATGTTGTTGTGTCACACGAGAGTAGATGTGAGCATCCTGGCAGCCTCCGCCAGTGTTGTTGCTAGGCTGGCACGTGACTCCAAAGACAACCCTCAGTTGTCACGGTGACAAGCCTTGGTACGAGCTGTACCAAGGAATGTGTTGTCTCCTGTTCATTTACAAATATAATACCAACCCTACCTCACAGAGCATAGGTGATATTGGATCCACTTTAGCCAAAATAAAAAGCCAAGTTCTGTCTGCCGGAAACGCTGCATACTAGTGGCTTTACAAGAATGTTATTACTATGCTATGTATCCTCACAATCCCAATGTACCTTCTTGTATATATATATATAAATAAATAAATAAAAAATAACTTAATGTTTCCACAGATTCCAGATATATACTGTATCTGGATGACCACAGTGTTTCCCTTGAAGTCAAAGTATTGTTGACCTTTTACTAGGCTTTCTATTTTTTTGTTTTATGGCAGCTCCAATCTGCCAAGATGCAGTTCAGATTCAGATTCTTTATTTAGTTAAAGGTACATCCATTGAGTTACATAATGATGGATTTAAAGATATAGTACATACAATACTATTGATGATTGGAGAACAGTTATTCTGAGGTTGTTCAAAATACATTTGACAAAAACAAATCATGATTTCTTGCTAATTGTATTATGAACACAACTACATAATGGTTTTAATTAATGATCATCATATCCAGGTTATATAATTAATTGCAGTTTTTTTATTATAATTTTATATAATAAGATAAGAAAAAACATTCAATAGGCATGGTTTCCTATCAAGTACAGGTACTGTATTTGTATTCATTATTTATATTTGTCTGTGATATAATGTTTAACTTAGAAATGATATTAGAATGAATAGTTGTGTAATTAAATGTCTTCTACAGGAAAATTACACCGAAAACTTTGTACAATGCATCCTGAGTGCCATGGGTGGCTCCCTGAGTGGCAGCACACTTGTCGTTGGCGGTGATGGACGGTACTTTGGAAAGAAAGCTGTTGATATTATTATCAAGATGTGTGCAGCTAATGGGGTAAGGATGATAATTTATATCATATTTATCCCAGATGCATAAATAGGCAAGTAGTAATAAAATTTATAAATACAGTACTACAGAGGATTTGATTAGTTATTTCATACCAGGTACGTATTTATATATTGCATATAAATACTCTAATCACACACTTTTTTTCCATACTAGCAAAACAAATCCTCTCTAAATAAATCTGTCTTGACACTTCATGGTACTGTAAGAGCAATATTCTTTGCATTTCATTTAGTCTCTGGTTCATATCCGTACTTGCCTCTGAAGAATGCTTGATAGGACTTGCACAAAATCTTCCATGTGTATTTTGTTACACTGCTTTTTATGGGTATGGTTATATATAGAAAGTTTGCTTTGTTTTAATTGCAACCCCCACCCTTCTCTCTCTCTTCAGTAGATTCCTGCCTGTGCCATTGGCATATGATATACTAATGTAGAATGTACAGGTCGCCAGTAAAAAGATCATGTCAAAAAACAAAAAAACAAAACAAAAAAAAATACAATTAGGCAACATGCCAAATCAATCCTATTGGTATGTAAAAATTTCTACATCAATCCATATATTCTATCACAGTATTTATTGTTCTGTTGCTTGTTGAGGAACTACAAATTGCATCAGGTGTTACATGGTCTTAATGATTCTTCAAACTAAATATTTTCTTAGGTGCGTAAAGTGATGGTCGGTCAGAATAGCATCCTCTCCACACCGTGTGTTTCTTGTGTAATACGGAAGTACAACACTGCTGGTGGCATTGTTCTCACTGCCAGTCATAACCCTGGTGGACCAGATGCTGATTTTGGTATTAAATTTAATATCTCAAATGGAGGTGAGATGTTCTTTGTTAAAGTTGCTCTATATTAAAAGTACAATATTTATATATATCACTGTAATTAAGATTGGAATCAAAGATTTGAAGTGATTTCAGTGTGACTACCTATACTATTAGAAACTTCTGATTGTCTCTACAAGTTAAAAAGAATGGTATAAAATTCGATGCTCTGATATACATTTGGTTCAGGTTTTTATCTGCTTTTCAACTATTACTTCAAATAACATATTGACCACATATTAGTATTGTACTTGCAATTTTTTATTCTTTTGCATATTTCTTTGCTAAATCTTAATTGTTATTGAAATCTAGTACTGTACACTAATAGGATTTGAACTTGTGGTCTAGTCGTGTTCCAGTCCTGGACATTATTCTTATCATAGTTGTCATTATTTAATGTTTAACTAAAGGCTTCTCAATAGATTTTAATTTTGTTTGATAAATATCTGCTTAATACAGGAATTGTATTGATTAGGAGGGACTGATGTCTGTCAAGGGAAATAGACCTTTTCATGAGACAGATGGGCATGCGGACATGTTTTATCATTGTACTTCTATGGGAAATGGCTTCATCAAAGTGATGAACAAAATGAGTGATATTTAATATAAACTAAGGAATGATAGGTTGCAGTACTGAACATGTGTGTGTGTAATGCTAACATTGTTCGTTGACATTGTATTACTGTTATGCTGTATTTATCCTCATTATAGTAGGCTGCTGTTATGTGTTACACTTATGTTGGCTTGTGGATATCTTAGTATTCCCTAAACTGCCCCCATTATTTCCTGTGCACAAGGATAATGACTGGATGGAAATGAGACACTAATTCAACTGCACACCAGTAATATATTATAGGCACGACATATACATACACTCACTCATACATACAATTAAGATTTAAGTAAATGTAACCGGTCCAGTGTTTGGGACCGAAGTCAGAACACACAAGAAAATCAAGGTAATTAACTAACTTGACTCTCCACTAGGAACACGCACAACTTGAAACGCCCAACATACTATTCTATTTCGCCAACTTAACCATAATTACTTAACTTGATGAGCTGCTACATTCAAGAGGAAGGAACCCCAGCCATTACCACTCCCCACTCCAGTCCAACTGGCGAAACTCTTGCGCTGCTGGCTACAGGCAGCCTGCGCCTGTACCAACACTCTTGGGTCAATAAGCCTGGTAACTAGAGACTAATCATAACTCTTTAACCCACTACCATTCATAAGAAATTTAAGTACAGTGATGCTAGTAATTTACTTGCTCAATTAAACGGATAATGATTCACCTCTACATGACATACGTAGTACTTAAATATGTCTACATTATAACTCGGGTGGTAGCCCTGACCAGCCAATCTAAGTACCATAGTTAATTACCATATCTGAATAAGTACATAGGCTATTGCACAAAGTAAGCTGCTATGTGAATATTAACAGGATTCATATTTCTACAAACAAAGGACCAGGGTAATTGGCAACAAACTACATGGTCGTCAAGTGACCTGACTACTTGCGCTTCCCAACACAACATGGAAATAAACACTATTCATAATCATTATACAGGCTAGTAACATACTTGTACTTATAAGTATTAATGCACACACATATAATGTATGGTGCCTCAAGGTCCCAAAACACCACATGTAGCATGCAAACTAAGACAGATCTCTCGAGAATCGAGTCACCACTGTAGGGTTGGTACCACTGCCAGTAACACCCTGTTACTGACATTCCTAGGGAGACCCTGGTGCCCTCAATTACCAACCTAACATGTGCACACTCGCCTCACTTATATAGTCATACAATATAACAATACATTGCAGTTACCTACAAGAATACATCACCCACATCAATTTACACAACCCAAAAGATCAATAAATGTGGGGATCCTAAGTATCTTCATTGTATCTAGTAATTAAGGGAGATTATTTAAATCTTTATTAATTCATATACTGTACTAGAAAAAATTATGACTGTTATTTATCCAATTAAACATAACTGGATCATAACGGCTGCCATCTTGCTGAATGGGTATTTAACGAGATATAAACCATTCTGGTCCTCAGGTCCTGCTCCCGATGCGGTTACAAATAAGATCTATGAAATCAGCAAGAACATAGTTGAGTACAGAATATGTCCAGAAGTACATTGTGATATTTCTGTGGTAGGAACACAAGAGTTTGTGGTGAGTATCCAACTCTCTCTCTGTTAATTATGCAAGAAAGTTATTTAACATTTTAGATTGAGTTGTAAATATTTGTAAATTAGTTATTTCCAGCCATTTGGAGATAAGAAAAATACTATACTTGGAATAAACAAAAAATTCACACATAAGAATTTTATCTATTATAGGTCTGAGGGTTATGTAGTGGTGTCCCAGTTTACATAATATGCAGTGAAACCATGAACATTTTTTCCCATTGTCTCCCATTAGAATGTTCTGTAGGGCTGATGAGTTTTTCTGACATAAAATTAGAAGCATAAATGTTGGTGTACGTAAGTATGGTTTTTTCTTTGTCACTAAAGATATTTTCTTAATTTTTTGCTAAAGGTTGAATCCCGACCATTTACTGTGGAGGTGATCGATTCGGTAGCCGACTACGTGGCATATATGAAAGAGATATTTGACTTTAGTGCCATTAAAGACCTTCTTCATGGAGCAACAGGCCAACCTCTTAAAGTTCTTATAAATGCCATGCATGGAGGTAGGACTTCTTAACTATAGTATATTTATAGGCCATGTTTTGGGGAGTTTTATCCACAAGTTTTGTTTCATTACTAATAAATATGTAAGGCACCTAGCATATTTAAGGGTGGATATCAACTTTACAGCTACGTTATTGTGACTCGTCTGCATTTACAAAGTATTAAATTTTTCATAATGTTACAAGGGATTGTAATTATAGCCAATGCTTATTAATTTGTATTGGCCCTGAAGATCACTGATCTAAGCTTTGTAACCTTATTAGTGTTGAATAAATACAATAGGTGTCTGTTTGCCCTTGACCAAGTTCATTATCTTTAATGAATAATTTAATAATTATTTCTTACTTTCTCTGGTAGTATTTATTCTAAGGTTCTTAAGAGAAATTTAGGCACCATCCTGGTTTAGTTAAGCAACCTAACTACTTTTGCCGTCATGGCCTTCCCTGCCAATGCACTCGCTAAGAGTAGAGGCCTAGGTTTCTGACCAGCCGGTCACGGCTGCACGTGGGTACCCCAACCTGTACCTGTTTGTCCGACCCAGCTGTGATGATTCCATTACATGCATGACCATTGACGATCTCTATCATCCTATTTTATTTTGTTTAAAATATCTGTAGAGAACTTTCTGCCATTGCCATTTCATAATATATGTTTCATTTTAGCCGTGGCTTCTATTAGTAGCAAAGCCCAAGGGGAACTTGTAGTAATGAAGTTATAGAAGAAAGTTGTGTACGTATATTAAGAGTTAAACCTGACATTCCTGAGTGGGTATTGTATGCTGAATACAGATTGAGCTAAATCACTGATATTTTGAAGGTTAAAGATAAAAACAGCAAAAAAAGCATAAGCAGCAAAGGAAAGTTGATAGGTTAGTCAGTTATGATGAAGCTGCAGAAGAAACAGCAAATGTTAGGCAAACTGCTCAAATTGTTGGCAGGATTGCTGACTCTGGAGAATGCCAAGTATTTCAGCCAGGAATTTATCATTGCATGTGTGCAGCGATGGGTTTAATGATGTGGTGTCATGGCAGCAGTCTGTACTATTCAAGTTTAGTCTAAGTGGAGTCTTCAGGACTCCAGCATCACACAGAAATAGGCATTAGGAATACATAGAACTGTATTTAAAGATGCTGTACAGCCTTGGTTGAAGTAGAGAGTTTATTTTAGATGACAGCTCATCTATGTTACAATAAAGTGCCTTTATATTGCCACTTTCAGTTCTGATATGTCTCTTGGTAGCTCAGTGTTTTCCTTAAAGTATTTTGTTTTTGTTTTACTCATTTCTGTACTTTGATCTTGTGCATCCAGTGACGGGACCATATGTTCGGCGCATCTTCTTGGAAGAACTAGAGGCCAGCGAGGACAGTGCTGTCAATATTGAACCTTTGGAAGACTTCGGAGGCAAGTCAATATTATCTTGTTTTTTGGCTGAATTCATCTTATCTACACCTTACATAGTTCATGCACGACATTGCACCACCACAAGCTCATTAAACAGCCTCATTTGGAACCAGTGGTATGTTACCGTTTTAATTCCTTTATGATTTAAAGTCTGCTCATTCACTTGCATTTAGCTACAGTATATATAAACTTATGTTGTATATACAATTTTTGTTATTCAGACAGGCTTGTAGATAGAATTTACATGAATCCTATAGCTATTATTCACTTCAAGTTATTTATGTACCAATATCACATTAAATTTGTCTGTAAAATGATGCATTGTTTAATGGCACTTTTGATCATTATGCAAAGTAAATGTTGAGAATATAATTAATAAGTAAATTGGGTAGATAAACAATTTGAAACATATGCATTGATTTAATATTAAAATGTTTGAGACCTACTCATTAAATTGGCTTTATTATACGGGATAGTAGGAAATAATCTAGTACTGTACCGTAATTATATACAAGAAGATTGTTTGTAGAAGGCAAATTTTTTTTTCTTGACAGGTCACCACCCAGACCCGAACTTGACGTATGCCGCTGATCTGGTCAAGGCCATGAAGGAAGGAGAGTACGGCTTTGGTGCTGCCTTTGATGGTGATGGTGTAAGTCACTTTTCTCACAAACTACAAGATTTCAATTACTAAATGTCTCTTCGTAAATTATGATACAAAATTTCTTTCGGTATAGAGGGATTCATTTTTGTTGCACCGTATTCTTCTCTTTGAGGAAAGCCAAGAAGATAGGCAGACATGTTGCTCTATGGGGCTTAAGCAAGATGAAATGTTTTAAGTAAGGTTTATTCTCAACTTGGCATTTATCTATGTCATTGTCAACACTTTATCAATTAATTTATAGCTGTAAATTGTTAACTAATTTTTTCCCAGGTAAGATGGGGTGATGGGGAAGGGCTGCTGCTTGAGTTTACCTCACAAATAAGTTAACTTTGAAAATATATTTTTATTTGTTAAATAACATATATAACATTGAAATAGAATTTCAACAGTAGTATGCAATAGTTAAAATTTTCCTTCAATATGTCCCCAGAGGTGTTCAAGAATGTGCTGTTAAATAATTCATGGTAAAATTTGTATAATTTGGGCAATTATACATAATAGCACAGTAATTATAAATGTTCCACAACCATTGGGGGCTTACACCTTGAAGACAACAGTATCACTACACCACTAGTTAGTTATCCCCAAGAGTCATTTCCAGTGGGTTTGTCATGTTTCTTCTTCAAATGGGTTTCTGTTTAATATCTTGTATGCTTTGTTGTTTGTACTTAATTTTCATGAAAAAACTTGCATGTGCTTGATCAGCTCCTGCTTTATTTCCACAGGACCGTAACATGATCCTGGGGCACAAGGCATTCTTCGTGACGCCCTCGGACTCCGTGGCAGTTATTGCAGACAACACAGACTATATTCCTTACTTCAAGAAGACTGGCATAAAAGGATTTGCTCGAAGTATGCCCACAGGATGTGCTATCGATAGGCAAGTGAGGGGGTTTTATATATGATTTTGCCCTAAAATCTTTGTATTTATACTTATAGGAAATATCTATAATTGAGCATGTATGGAATGAGTATTTGTACCAACCCATCCTCCTGAAATGATAGTACAGTACTTATAGTAACTATTTGGTCGAAAGTACCAATGTACTGTGATGGACCACCAGTAAATCACTTTTTGAACTACTGTATTAGTTTTATAATGTCCAGAAAAATAAAGCTAACAATTTAACAAATGTTCTTAGTCCTAATATAGTACAGTATGCACTTATACTTTAGGAGGATTGGGCAATTTGAGCACATGCATATATTCTTCTCTCTAAATTACAAGTTTGTTTTTTTGGAAGCCCAGTTCCACTGGTTATCTCTTAATATCTCGTTCAAATGTGGTCTACCTCACTGTGCTTATGGTGAATCTTTAAGCCAAATCTTTACTCCAAGCATCCATTCTGCATCTTTCAACTTTCTTTCTCTACACTTATTCAAAGCTTCTTATTATGATAAGATATATTATTGAAATTGTAGATAATTTAACTCTTGCCTATCCATTTACTGTGGTGTTCCACAAAGTTCTGTTCTACTGTCTGTGCTTCCATTATTTATCGGGGATCTTCACAGCACATCTAGTGCGATCCATTCTTGTGCTGATGAATCCACTTTCTATTTTTCCTCATTGTTACCTTTGAGGAAGCCTGCAGTTTTAGTAGAGGATGTGCTTGGGTCAAGCAAGTGATTCTTATCTGTAGCTTCATATGCTTGCCTTGCCGAGTGTTCACAGTCGAGATTAGGAGTGCAGTTTGCAAAGATTTGCAACAACATTTTCCTTGTGCCTGTCTGTGACAGTCCATTTAGCTGGTATTGCTTGTCTGTGGATTTTTTTTTTCATTTGCATTGTCAGTCTGGTTGTTATGGCTTTCCTTTCCAATTCTGTACCCACCTGCAGTTTGTAGGTTTTTGGGACATGAATCTGTGATTTTAGAATGCAGGTGGCCATTTTTATGAGAATAATTAAATTTATAAAGCATTTAGTTAATGTAAAAATCTTAATTTCTTTCACTCAATGAGAAACATTTAGGAATTTCTGACTGACATAATGCTCTTATTTCATTAACTTTGCATATTATAATGTAAATGGAGGTGTATAGCTCTATCATTATAGTTTAAATACAAGCACAATTTTTATAACATTTTATATTATTGCCTAACGATTCATGATGTTCTTTGAATTGTATTTCTTCTTAAATAAGTTGCATAATGTGCAGTATTTGTATCACAGGGTTGCTGAAAAGAAAGGTGTTGAAGTGTTTGAAGTCCCAACTGGTTGGAAATATTTTGGAAACCTGATGGATGCTGGTCGGCTCTCCATCTGTGGTGAGGAGAGCTTTGGGTGAGTAGTATTACTTGTTTTGTTTATTAAATCATACATGAAATATTGTTACAAGTTCCTAGTACAGGACTATTTCTTTTATTTAAAAACATAGCTTTGAAACTTTTATCTAGTGTCACTAGATATAAATTCTATTAAAATCATTGGTTCTTTATAAGGAAAAAACCTTATTGTTTATGGGCCATGCAATTCTCTGGTGGTTAACTTTAAAACCATTTACAAAATCAGAGAGGGTAGCAATCTTAATATCTCAAATAATAAGTTTAACTTCCAGAACTTCTGCACATGTGCCCTGATTACAGGGAATAATCAAAGTGCAGTAGGTTCATTTGAAAAAAGTACCCTAGGAAATTTTTCAGTATATGAAGAATGGTTTTGGTAAATATATTATATTTATATTTAGAATTCATCTTAGACCACAGGCTGTATATATTGCTATCAAGTTGGAAGCAAGAGTAGGGAAAAACCCATGGTTAAATAGTGCAGAGAAGCAAAAATTAAGAGCCAGAAAGACGTATTACAGTACTATTAATATATTTTTATCTATATAAATAAAAATGGAAATGTTCGTTTGTGCATAATTGCAAATCTCCGAAAGTTCTTCACCGATTGCTTTGAATTTTTCACACAACGTTCGATTCGCATCCGAGCAGGTTTTTATATATATACTATATAGATGTCACGTCTGTGATGGTAAAAAAAAAAAAAAAAAATGCTTTTTCTGAAAAACTGTTTTTTCATGTGAGGGCCCAAGACCTCTTTACCGATTGAGATTGAATGATTGAAAAAGAAAAAATGCCAGTGTTAAATGCTTCTTTTAAGTTAACATTAGTAGATTAAAAGGTATACATACTGTACATTTGTTGCCACATAGACATAAAGACCACATGAATTGGTAATGTGGATGTCATATCAAACCAGTTCTATCGATACTGTACTGATATTACCTTACCTTGCAGAACAGGCAGTGACCATATTCGAGAGAAGGATGGCATATGGGCAGTGTTGGCATGGTTGTCCATCTTAGCTGGCCGTAATATGTCAGTAGAGCAGATCTTGCTTAGTCACTGGGGCACATATGGCAGGAACTTTTTCACCAGGTATTGTGTGTACTAGCATGTATCCTCTAGTTATTCATAAAAATAGCAGCAATGTGTATATATATGTAATGTCTTGAAGCTCTAAAAATTTAGAGTTTATAATTTCCACTCTTACAGCACATCCTTTAATTACTGAAATGGTAATTTTGACTTTTGATTTGAAGTTTAGGATACTTTAATCTTTTGACCCCTTATGTGTTTTTTTTTACCATTTGAATTTATATTTTATGGTTGTTTAACTTTTAAAATTTACATGTAATATGTTGCAGGTATGATTATGAGAACTGTGAAAGCGAGCCATGCAATAAAATGATATCTGCTTTGGATGCCATGAGCGGTGATGCATCTATGGTTGGTAAACAGCTTTCTCATGGAGAGAAGACTTACACTGTTGCCAAAATTGACAACTTTCAGTACCAGGACCCCATTGATGGTGCTGTAGCAAAGAAACAGGTAAGACATGTTTGCAGCCGAGGTCACATGTCCAAGGGTTGAATGTTAATATTGGGTAAATTAGGCTCGACGGTTACATTTACAGGCACATCATGCCATCTCGAGTCCAGCTTGCTTCTAATTTAAACCAACCAACTGTACCTAACCTTCAGATAACCTAATCATGCCTCACTCACATCCAGAAATACATCACCAGCTGGGAGAGATATACAGTAGATGTATTCCTATACCAAAGTGCCCTGATTTTCTCCAGAAGTGTCTCAACCTCCTAGTTAAGTTTTTATAAATTCTTCAGTCTTGTATGATTTTTTAAAAACTAATTGGCATTAAATTCAATGTTCATAATCCATTTTAAATTTTGTTAGTCTTAAAAAGTCTGAAAGGTAGCATATTTATAAATTACTAGCTGTACCCGGCCATGCATTGCTGTGGCTCCGTCTGGTTAAATGGACGCTCTTCCTTCTATGAATCTTTTAGAGATCATTCTGTACTAGACTGAGCATTTATAGTACCTTCCTAACACAGCAGGAAGAATTTCAAAATGTCCCATCTGCATTATTGTCTATGCTGACCTATGGCACCAGTTTTATGAACCTTTCCAGTGGTACCAGAAAAGGACCTCACCTTAGAAAACGGCTCTTCTGCCAATCAGACTCATTTCTGTTTAACATTCCCTAACTACTTTACCGAGATGATGTTCAGAATGGAATGATTATTCTGACACATCAGTCGTTCTAACATAATTAAATATGTCTATAATACTGGTTCTGAATGGTGATACTGTATATCTGTGTGATCAACCAACTCTTAATATAGAATTATGTATAAAAGAGTGGCAGAGTAAGGAATCTATAGGTTAGTAGTTCAATTTGTAAGTTTCATTATCAATCGTGTATTTTCCATGTAATAATGCAACTCTTGCCATTTCCATTAGTTCTCTGCCATAATTTTTCTCCCATTTTAAATACTACAGGGTGTCCGTATTTTAATGAGTGATGGATCTCGTATTGTGTTCCGATTGAGTGGCACTGGCAGTTCTGGTGCCACAGTCAGAGTTTACATTGAAAGCTACGAATCAGATTCGTCTACTTTTACTAAAGATGCACAGGTAAGTTGGTGACATGTTTGTAAATATGTGATTTTCATTGGTATTATAGAAGTTGTATAGAATTACTCTAAATAAACAAAGATGTATTTAAATATTTTTGCTAGACTACTATCTTAATTATTTAAATGTGACCATCAGTAGATTGAGAGAAAATAAACTTCTGAAGTTAATGTAATGCCAATAGTTTGTGCAAAATGAAGGCAACTAAATGTAAAAAATGTAAACAATCCTATAATTGATTTTCTCTGTATTCACAGGAAGTCCTGAAACCTCTGGTTGAAATTGCTCTGAAACTCTCCAAACTTGCTGAATACACTGGACGCCAGGTTCCCACAGTCATCACCTAAACTTTTTGTGGCAACTGATTTATACAAACTATCTGCACTACTAACTGTGAAGTCAGATACTTTTCTATAATATGTTGCAAGATTGGATTAATTTAAAAACGAAATGGGCTCTTACCGATACAAATTCTAAATGGTCCTGCATTATGGCTTCCTTGGAAGATACGCCACTCGCTTAAGGTTCATTCCACAATGGAGAATAATTGGGTAAAAGTTGCATTAGAACATAAGTCAATAATTCATAGTTAGACATTCAAATATTTTCTAATGTCAAGTATGTATAACTATATACTGTATATATAAAAAATCCTAACCAAGCAAGTGTTCCATTGCTAGTCATCTTCCACTGTAAAGTACAGAGCTTGTTAAAGACATTTTATGCACCAACATTGATATACAATAATGTTAGTGCATAAAAAGGAATAAAGTTTTGTTGAATACTATAATAGTTTTATAACGGATCCTAATGCCAACAACAGTTAATATAAATGCCTGAAATGTTACCTGTATGTAAAAACACAGTATTTAATATACTTGAATGCAGATATGATTATTCACTTTATGTAGGAAATTGAGAGTTGTAAAGGACCTATGTTGCATTTGGGCTTTAATTCACAGTTAATCAAGGATGATGGGTTAACTTAAAGCTGTATTAAATAATTCAAATGTAACCAAATTTAAAAAAAATTATTGCTCATTTAAAAGATTGTATACATATATTAAGTACTGTATTCACACTACAATTACAGCTGTCTGTATAATGAAGCATATGAATGCCGTAGTAGTCATTTAATAGTAAAAGTTTACTTAAATTTGACATTAAAAACATTAAATCAAATTGTAGCATACATTACCGGATTTGTAATGCAGTATTATGTACTGTATATGGACGCTGGGTAAAGAAGTAAACTACAGGACTAACCTTAGTGTTGTGGAGCACACTCCTAGCTCCTGAGGAGTGTGGCGACCATCTTATCTTGAGATGATTTCGGGGCTTAGCATCCCCGGGGCCCAGTCCTTGACCGGGCCTTCCTTTTTGTTACACACCCCCAGGAAGCATTTGATGGTGCTACATAGCCTTCCCGGTTTGGTGCCTTCTTTCGATAATTACCTACTTAACCCCAGGAAGCAGCCCATAGCAGCTGTAACTCCCGGGTACCTATTTACTGCTAGGTGAACAGGTGACCATGCCTGAGTGCAATATATAATTTAAGACAATCTTCTGAATATTTTTGGTACAATATAGATTGAAAATGGAAATTTTTATACAAGATTTAATTTTTTAAATCTGGGACGTACATTTTTTGTTTATCAGTTTTCAGCTACAATGTATCAAGACTGCTGCAGTCTCTGGCAGACAAGTAGGGTGAGGAATGTACAAGATCATTTCTAGTCACCTACCGAGTGCAGAAGCTGCCCAATCTCAGACGACATAACTCATTTGTAAAGCAAACACCTTTTGAGGTGTGGAACATATTCTCAAGCATTATCAAATGTAGTGTAGGGTATCAACAAAGAGCTGTTATAAAATAATAATCTTTTAATAAATAAAATATGAACTTTTATGAAAATTAATTTATATTAATTCTTCTATGAATTATAGCAAGCTAAAATACACATCATGCAGTTTTTCAACATTAAATAGAATTATTAACATACAGTAATACAGAACAAAGCTTCTTAATACTATACAGTATAATGGATTTTATTACTGTATAAGAACGTTTATCCTTGTATCCCAATTTGTTAAATAATAAAATATAGTTAAACATGCAATAAACATGTGAGAAAATATAGGCATGCACACAAATAATTAAGACTGGCAAGATACTCTTCAACTGCCTCAAGTTATGAGAAAGTAATTATTAAAAGGTGCCACCAAATCAAGTTGATCATTTGGTCCAATTATTGATTTGCAGCATTCTAAAACTTCCACATTCTCCAACTTTAGTGAAGTGAGGAGAGGAGGCAGTTACACACCCAATACAAAAACAGTATAGAAAAAGGTCAAGAATACAGAGATTTCAAAATAACACACATCCCAGCACCATGTAATCCACACAAATATTTATGAAAACAAAAATTGGGTAGTTTTAGGTTTTACAAGAAAATTACCATAATTGCATTTTTTTTCCAAATACTATAATGGTTCTCGTTCGATCGCACTTCCATTAACGTCTTACACAGCACAGACTACTGTACTCCACACATCCACACTCTAGGAAGACAAGATGTGTGAAGGAACAATACTGAGTGGAAGTAGCTTGCTAGGAGACAATGTATGATGAAAATGTGGTGTATTATACATCTCGTGTATGAAACAGTCAAAATAACAGACTGGTACAACCACACAGCATTTCGACATTTCCAAGTGCAGAATTTATCATTATCAAAAATTACACACACGAATCACTGATATCTAATTACTGAACAATAATTTTCTATTCAATATGAATGCTTACCCACCTCAAACACAGAAAATGAGAATGATTTATGCAAAATGGAGGAAAATCTGAATTTATGAGAGATGGAATGAATATGAACAATCAATAATGTCTGGACAAAGTTTTTTCTGCTATAAAATAGAAAACAATCACTAATTTATGAAAAAATACAAGTGCATTATTTCTTTGCATGTTTTACCAGTTTTTCACTGTCAACATTTGGATGAATCTCTGATAACTCCAAACAGTATAAATGTAAACGATCTTTATACCGACTGGGCCCTTGTGACTGTGAACTAAATCTCCGGCATGTGAATGTTAGAGGTCTCAATAACTGGTCATTGGAGCAGAGTTTCTCAAAAACCTTGGAAGATACAGATGCCAGAAGTATTTGGGAATTGCCTAATTCACGATCCCTCCTCTTAATTGATAAGTAGGTTAACTGATGAAATCCTGAAATAATATTATTTTCTAATAATTTAAACTGTTGATGACTAAGTTGTAAAAGAATTTGTACTTGGTCAACAGAATCAATAAAGACTAATGCAGTTGAAGTGCCATCATCAATAATCACTTGAGCAGCAGCAACAATTTTGCCTGTTGGCTGTGCATGACAACCAACGTAAGTGCACGACCCTTCGACCATGTCCGAATTACAAAAGCAGCACACCGATTTCAAACTGACTTTAATTATTCGTCCAACAGTAGCAAAACAAACAAATGCTCCATGTTGAGGTGCATCTCGAAGATAAACAAATTTTTTTCTCTTCCTATGAGGCAGATTTGAAATGGGAGCAGGTAGGGCTACGGGCACAAGACACGTAAACACTGTGCCCTGAAGGTAAACTTTGTTTGCCTTCGAGACATTCCTTTTAACACTAGATGCAATAACTGATACCCCAGGAATTATTCCTAATGGGTAATGTTGTATAAAATTATTAGAAGTGCTATTTAAATACAGCCATATTTCACTATTTGAATTTTCTTGATCTTCAAGTAAAACTCTTATAATTTTGCTCCCTGGAACACCAACATGGTATTTATTGGCTGCATCTACTGTAAAACATCTGATTTCAGAAATAAATTTAGGAGTCATATGTGCCCTTTCTTTCACAGTACCAATAACAGAAATTAGCCCATGATTATCAAACTCTGGCTTCAAAATTTGAGTTACACTTAATTCAGTCTGGTGGCAATTTTCATTTGTGACATCTACTACGGAAACACAATCTGGAATATAAAGGCATTCACATGTACCAAAGTGACTCTGAAGGGGTCTTAGCCAGGAATTTGAATGGGTTTTTTTCATTAACAATTCAGCATTTTCTGACTCAGGGATTTTGATCAGACACTGGTGCCCTTCTTGAACGCATGAATGTATTAATGCATTGCTACCAGAAAATCTAACAAAAGTTTGTCGCATCTCGTCTAGCACAGTGCGTTGCTGCAATCTCATTACTACTGCACGGGCTATGAAAAACATATCACAAATTTCATTTCCTGATACTCCTTTTGAGGACTGGAAATTATTGAATACTATGCAAGATTTGGAAATTATTTTGATATTATATAAAGAACCCATCTCACTGCTAGCAATAAGTTTTTGTGGCATATTAACAGATTCTTTTAAAATTACTACATCTGAACTCTTAATCATAATATACTTCTTGCATACACTTTCCACAGATATTTTACCAAATATATTGAATTCTTCTATAACAACAATAAAATTAAAAAGTGCCACAACTGCACCAACTTTATGAAATACATTTTCTTTATTACCAACAATAAGGAGATCTAGCGGTACCTGTGATGTCTGCTGACACACCTGCAGGACACCACTGTCACCGCAGACAAGCTTCCCCACCAGTACCTTGGACTCGTTACCATCAACAACAACATGATGCCAAAGTGTCGGTGCTTCACATCCTGCAACACTTTCAGGATTTATATTTGTTTTCAAGCTGTCCAAAGTAACTGCAGTAAAGGGAGCCACAAAATCCTAAAATTAAAGAAAATACAAATGAAGCTCAAAACATTTTGTACTTATTAATCTGTATGTATGTATACTCAATATGTACTGTATATGAATGTACATGTACTGTGTATAATATATACACAATATATGAGTGTGACATCACAGGGTAGAAGGCACTAGAGTGGTGTCCGACATGGTCAGTGGACATGAAGGGAACGGAACTAATCAGGGATGGTTAGTAGGCAAACTGGACCATCTCCCTTCCACCGCTCCCAGGCCAGAGGGAGGCCTGACAGACCGCTTCCTCGATTCCCAAACTTAGTTCAGGAATCGTGAAACCCGAACCCAGATAGTGAAACTGGAACTTTCGAATAACTTAAGTTCGCACACCAATTGGTCTTCTGTATACTCCAAAGAGTATACCTTGAAACCTCTTCTGTATATACAAACCTATAGCAGAGATTTACAACATAAATTTTGTATCAAATCTCTACTTGTATTGCGGGATGAACTTACTTGATTGACGATGCACTCGTAGTGCGACATGAATTCCTGGTAAAGGGAGCGGGACTCTCTCTTGAGCAGATTCCGCCTGGCACCTTCTTTAATTAAATTAGACAGCAAGCTCTTGCAAGCTCCATTCCAGTTTCTCCTATTAAACATTTCAGAAAATATTTGAAAACTTATGAGTTCATTGTTTAATACTGAACTTTATTACAATATATTCTTTACCCACATACAAAACCATTAGCTGTTAAAAACATCCAACATTAATAAATTAAATGTCATTATAAATGAATGCAGTATGAATACCTAAAGTAACTACAGTACTGGATACTTATATACTTAAAAGTAAAGAAAGAACCGTATACTACTTCCAGCCTGATGTATGTAAAGTGAATCTTGGGTATGGAAAGGATCGGAGCATTCAAGGGGTACAAGTCGTGGAATTTTGTTGTTTAAAGTATCTGGTGCAAATATGTGAGATGGGCATAGCAATGGGAATGTAGTGTATATGAGAGATATGGTACAGGGAAATGGAGTGTGGGAATGAAATGTGAAGAGGACAAAGGACAATACACTGAGGTGGTATGGATATGCTAGTACAATGTCCGAGAATTTTTTTCAACAATAAGGGTGTAAAAGGGTAAAATAAATGGAGCATGTAATAGAGACTTGAGCTCTTTCCTTTTAAGAAACCAGTCAACAAAATATGAAAGAAAATGTGGAGGGATTCCGAGCTTGAAACAGTATATAGTGTGGTGTCAAGCCTATAATAACTTCTGCTATAGCCACCACCTAATGGGGAGCTCCTAAGAATAAGTGAGGTGTCTGGGCAACAGATAGGAAAAGCAACAACGTATCCTCCTCACAACAATCTAACGGTAAAGTATACAAAAGAAAGATCTCATAATAGAGTGGAACAAGTCAAAGATTCCTGTACACTGAGCACCCTGAGGAACATACTGCAGATGGATGGTCAGGGAATCATGACAAATAACAGAGAAGTCAATACTTAGTTTTCATATAAAAAAAAAAAAACTGCAAACAAACCTTCTAATAAGCTTCTCATCCACAAACTTTGGGCAGAGGGCACTTATCAAGCTATTCTGGAGATCCAAGAGCCAAATGATGCCACGAATGCCAGGATTATACAAGTGCACAGAATCCACAATAGAGCTCTCACTCCTCTTGTTGTGTGTGTGGACTGGGGTCTTCCTGTTGGTTACAAACTTGGAAGCATTAGCTTCATACCATTAATTTAGCTTTTTACCTATAAACTAAATAAATTACAAAATTCTCTCATATTAGTTGTAGCGAGTAAGCTTATACTCGCTCCATTATCTCTATCGTAATAGCGTAACTAATTTGCACTAATTACAGAAGCAACAATCCTTTCCCCAATTACAGGTAATACTCTTCTCATCTTGTTGGAGGGAGCCGAGGTTTAATCACCATATAAGCAAGCGATGTGAGTAATAGCAAACAGTACAATTTCCAGTCAAGAATGTAGCACTCGGCATAGGCAGTCCTAATCGTCTCCAAAACGCTACAGCTTCGACACAGAACAGGCAGCAGACTAGGACCGCATCGAGCTACAACGCTCTCTCACATAGAGCTCCGCGACTCCAGCCACACTCGGCTCTCTGCTGTGCTCCAAGCTCTGTCTCAATGTCTACGACACTGCTGTATCCAGGACTACTAAATAAATATGAAACTCACTAAACACTGTGTACCTAATCTACCCAACAACGTAACATAAATTTACTGTGTAACGTACAATTATCTTTCTTTCAATTCCCAAATTTCTCAATTGTAAACTCATTATCTATATACAGCCAGCTTGTCCTCTGCCTATAATTAATAATAATAACAATAATTACTGTATTAATGAATAATAATAATTATTAGTAATAATATTAGTAATATTATTCATTAATAATAATTATTATTAATCATTTATTAATTATTATTATTAATCAATTAATACTAGTTAATAATAATAATAAATTATTATTAATGAATAATAATAATAATATTATTACTGTATAATAAAACTAACAATTAACTATATCATGGTAATTAAGTGCAAAAACTGCAAAGTAAATTGCATTTTATTCTGCCATTTCAAGGCATCAGTACGACTGAAGGATGGCAACAAGCTCTCTGAAGTTAAGTTTATAAGCAGTTGGGCCCATAGCCAGAGACATCATCTCTGCTCTATCATCACAGTCAGCTTGCAATCATTTGAACCCGAGTTTGATTACCGGGCAGGGCGAGCCTCGTTACCATATTTCCTTATACCCCCATATCTCTCTTCTCCTAGCAGTAAACAAGTACCCAGAAGTTAGTAGCTGTTGTAGATTGCATCTTGGGCAATATTCAGAGGGTTCTTAATGTGTTCCAAACAACAAACCCTCTGGTATAATATTTTTCATGGTATCATAGAAGTATCATTTCCTTCCACGGAAAGTGATTTTTAGTTTATCTGGTTTGATCTTCAATTCCAGGTTCCTTCTTCTGGAAGGATTTTCTCACTTGACCTGTAAACTGCAGGAGGTATTTAAAAGTACTACATCAAAGTGCATGACTAAAAACAGCCAACAAATCAAGTGGGAAAATAGATACAGATAGCAACTGAAGCACAACGTATTAGGATTAAATACCATTCCCTGCTCTCATAAAGATGCAACAGTGGGATACCTCAGAAATTTGACACTATTTTCATTTTGAAATTAAATTCTCAGGACATAATAATGCAAAGATAGACAGCACTTACTTACCTAATCTTTCTCACCAAGCTCCGTGCACAGCATACGAGATGAAATATTCCAGAAATCCTTAAGTAGTGAGCATGGTAGACTGTAATGGAGTCTCCTTTTTCAAGAGATTTACATGTTCTAGACTCGGCCAAATTCTCAGTGTATAGTTCTCCAGCAAAATCAATCAGATAGGAAACAATCAGGCGGTGTCGACCATCAAGTTCATAAATTCCAGCCTCTTCGTCTACAACACCAGTTATGGTTCCCTGGAATTTATGTAATCATCAATTACACTTCACCTATTTTCAAAGGTGTGAAGGCACAGAAAAGAAAATTGTAGATACTCTAATCAAAATTATTCCAATTTCTTAATTACGGATAAAAAAGCATGGCTGGATTGAATGCGTGTTTAAAGAAGAAAGAGAGGAAAAAGGGAGGAGGCAGCGGCCAAGATATCTACATACACAAAACATTGACACAAATATCCGTACAACTTTTCACATGTAATTTATGGATGTTTTCAAATACAAAATGCATTTCTCCTATCTTTTACAGTACTTTAAAATGAGAGAGCTTAAAATGAGACTTCACTATTATTATTTTTTTTTTTTTTACTTTTGCACTCCACATATTCATCACATTTTCATTCACTACTCTTATAACATCACCCCAGCAGGAAAAACCATGGTCAAATAATGTCATTTGCCCAGCTTGTGCCCCTGGGACACACGATCCTCAGATTGCCCACTTCTACTACTGCACCCTGACCAACCCTATTAAGTAATAACTATCGAAGTGGATGAGAGGCACAGAATATCCATGAAGTAAATTGTTTTATTCTTGTACATCAAGAACCTATTGGGGTGGTTTCACAAAGTCATAAAATAAATTGTGTTCTAACTGAATGGAATGACTACCACACACATCATTAATTTAGTGATTTAATACAATAAAATCTAGAGATGTGGAAATGCCAGGAAGTCTTAATACAATTACTATAAAAAAAAATATGCTTAAGTTTACCCGTGTTGGATGTCTGCAAAGAGGTAAAAAAGAAAAAAAGTTAGCAAGTTAAATTCATAAGGTATATCTCTCTATACTGTACGTTTTCAATGCTTTATTCTCTCTGGAAACTTACTCTCCGTGTAGTAGGCGAATACATAGAGAGATTCTATCCCATACAAATTGTCTTCATGCATTAATAACTCAAATGAGCACCTGAAAAATTTATCAAAGCACATTAATTGTTGGTTTAGTCATCAAAAAGTGGAGCTGGAGTAGTAATAATTTGTGAAAGATGTGAAGATTTCCACAGGTAGCACATGCAAGAAAGCACAAGGGAAGAAACACTAAAAAATTCACACACAGCACTTCTATGCAAGTACAGTAACATATTTATGGTCCAAAAATATTCCTGCAAATGCTCAGTAAGCGGCCTTACCTTATAAGAAATGAGGTCTTTATCTTGTTTTACATCAAGATCATCATCACGCTCATCTTCTTCCAACTGTGTCAGCATGGACAAACGAGTTGTAAGTAATACCGGTATATTATATTTGTCCTGAAATGATGCTTAGAATGAACATGCTATACTGGAAAAATTATCAGGTCTACACACAAGAACATAAAAATAGAGGAAGCTATAGGTCTACTAACCCATGTTAGGCTTATCTTATATACAGGTGTATATATATATATATATATATATATATATATAGTCTGTCTAACCTATGATACAATCCAGCAACCCCATTTTAATTATGCTGTTCAGCAAACCATTCTATAAATCTACAGCCATATTTCCATACAAGTTTTTAGCGTGTTCTTTTCTAAAATTTAAACTTATCCAATTTCAATTTTATTCCAGATGTTAATTTGAGCCAATTTTTAGTACTCTAGTGTATACGATAAATATCCTGCTCGTCATACCTTTTCATCCATTTGTATACAGTACTTCAATAATATACCCCTTAATCTTTATTTTATTGAACATGAATTAAGCTTCCTTAATCAAACAGTTTATAAAATTACATTAAAATTAAAGAATACTATAACAGGGATATATTTCATGATTAAAGTATCAATGGTATCTTTGTAAAATTGTCACAGGCAACTTAACATATACTTTTATCAAGAATAATCCATAAAGCTTCTTCGGTGCTCTACAAGGGATGCATTTTAAGAAACAGTACGAGTATGTAGTTTAAGGCCTCCTGCCAGTCCCATTTTCTTGATTAGTACTGTACCACATTTGGTATTTCCCAGATATCTGGGAACTCCCATCCCAAATGTTACATTGCACATCCTAGCTCATAACTTAAAAGTTTTCCATTGGCCTCTTATAGTAGCCATGATTATGTCAGGTCAAGTTAAAATAATTATGAGGAGCAAGCACTTAGTTTGAATATATAGCAAGTTATGTCACATTAACTATAATCTATTTGCAGTCTTCGGGGCTCTGCAAATGATGCACGGTAAAAAAACATATCTCACCCCATGATGTCACTAATTTCTTTTCTCTGATGTCTTGGATATAATGCAGTATGTTGAGATCTGGCTTATTTTTCAACAGGTTGCAAGTAGTGCACAAGATATGGTGTGCATCCATTTACTTGAAAACTTTCCCTTGCATCCATTTGTCTAGAAATTAAACTAAGATACCAAAGATCTTTGGCCAAAATGAGAGACAATTAGTGCCATCTATGAATGCAATACATAACCAAATGCTTGCCATGATTTGTAAGCCATTCATGACTGAAATAATTTTCAGGAGATTCAAAAGCTGAATTTGAGGAGATTCTAGTGTTATTTAACGATGTAAGCAGATTAAGGATTAGACAAGAGTATTTGGAAAGTATACATTTATTTACATCAGGAGAAAATCCAACATGATATGATGGATTTTACTCCCACAACACATTTCCATGAAATAATATTAGTGATTGCCAACATAACTACATTTTGTTAGGATTATTTAGACACTGAATATTGATTTAACATTGCTTTACTACGAGTGCCATCTATTTATCCAAGTCGTCTTTCATCTTTTTCTGCCAAAGGTCAAATCAAATCAGTTAATCACGGTCACCACAATCATTTGGAAATTATTCACAAAAATGCTTTCCAAATAAACAGTGGAATTATGATTAATATACACAACTGTTCAATACTGGTAAGGGTTGATCATACAGCATCTTCACCATGTTTCAAACCTAACTAGGCCCATGCTACAGATTATTTACATAGGTGTGAAAGAGTCAGCCATGTGCATGCAACTAGCCACTTTATCTGTGAAGTGTTTATATTTTCACTTCTTAAATCTTAAAAGCTTAACCTAGTGTGATTATAACATGTAATGAATCATGGATGCTCACCTTAAACAAAACGAAGGTTTTCAAATTTGTTATTCTGTATCTGGATCTGACTTCCAGTGACTGATGCCAAGCTAGCTGGCTGTGTCTTCGCACTATAATATGATGGATTTTAATCCCACAGCACATTTCCATGAAGAACATGTCCTCACTGGAAATTCTGCAATAATTACAACCAGTTTATATTATCATGGTGCTGTTGAAATGAATGTATTTATGATACAGGTATATTGTATATAACAGCCAAGTGAAAAAAACTATGTTAATGGGAATCATTTGTGACATGAAAGTTATATTAATTAACTGATTAAGATATTATATACATAGAATATCATATGATATCCTCAGCCTTAAGTAAAATTCAATAATTATGAAATACAATACTGTAGTTGAGAAAAATTGTGCCCAAATGATCACCCACTTCCTGTAAACAGCACTTTCCTTACAAATTCTGCCTTTTATGTCATTGCTACTAACAAAGTTAACCAAAACTTATGAAAAAAAAGTTTTATATTGTGTGAGGTATTGTACACAAACTCCAATAATGCATCTTCCTTCAAGACATTTACTTCCAGCCGTGAAGGCAACACAAGATAACATGTGGTGTGGAGCCTGACCTGAAGGTGTGACTGAGGGCCAGCAGCCTGCCCCGAATGTCGGCCTCCTCCATGGCTCCGCGTTAGCTGCCCTGGAAAACAGCTCGGCCAAGTAAAGCTCAAGCTTCAGCAACTACAGCAACACCTGTTGCTAGCTTCACACGCGACTGCAACACCTGTCACGCCTCACAACACATGTGCTCGGCACTTAATGACAGCGACGTCTCACAACCACAGTTAAACGAGCCTTCTGTTATGCTCACTACGAGCCTAGACTCAATGCTCGGTATTACGCGCATATCAAAATTAGCATACATATAACTTCTATATAATTTATTAATTTATTTGCAATTTTACTGTCTTTAATCAAAGTACGTTGTTTTTTCTTCGCCTGTACTTTCTAGGGAGTTTTGCTCGGGTTTGGGTCAATGTGTGACCACGTGTACTTACCTGGCACAGGAGACAGGTGATCCGTCACGGGAGACATCTCCTGTCACACAGGGTGCAGTCGCACCTTCACAGATCTCCAGTATCATCTATTAATACTGGTAATGGCTCAAAAGGGCCACCACCACTTACGGGCTATTCATGCCCGTGCCACCTTTTGGGTGGCTTAATCTTCATCAATCACGGTGATCACTTGAACTTGTGTGACCACGTGCTCGGTCTGTGACCTTGCTAAGTGATTGTTGTCTGTGGCACTACAGCCAATACACAAGGCAAGAACCTACTGAAGCCGCCCAGAAAAATGTGTTAAATTGTAGCCATGGCTTGATATAATGTAGATGTAATTATAAATACAGTAATATTTATTAATTGTTTAATAAATTCGCAAAATTTAGTATTTTTTACATTATATACAGTATTTAGGCGTTCTTTAATATACAGATATATTATGTAGGATGCTTATACTGTATACTATTGCTGAAAAACTTACAAGGATGACTAATGTCAGCTGTGTCAGAGGATTTATGAAGCTGCTTGGAAAGCGGGTAAATCTCTGTATAAAGGAAATGCTACAAGAATTTTGCCCCAAGAGTAACACTTATATGCGGTGCTTACTATATTAACCTGCAATGTTAAATGAAATTCTTGTACTGTTATTTGTCTATTTGTACTCACTGAATTTGTGCGCCCCTTGAGGGACTTGAAGTAGAGGGGGTAGAAATAGCCTAAGCTACTCTATTCCTTTGAGATGTATTTCTTTCCTGTCTCAATAAACATACTTGAACTTGAACTTGGAAATACGCCAAGCCAGGGAGACGATGTAGCAAGACTAAGTACAATGACAATTTAAGGCTACAGGACTAAGGCATGACAGGAGAAACTTTTGTAACCTTTCCTGATACAGAACATAACACAGACTTTAAAATTTGACATCAGGCACTAGGCATTCTTTATAATCTTCCTAAGAAAGCAGAAATGTAGTTGCCAGATGCAATCTTACCCTCACATGCCTAGCAAGCAAAACTTCATAGTTTCCTACCTAGTGCTTGAAACTCGCACTGTATCTCGTGTTACCCAATTCCCCAATATATGTACCTATGCCATATAACTTTACCATTATAATAATTGCTGCTATCTTGTATCATGTTATACACATAGTTTGCAGCATTATATCTTGCAATAATCCTCAAATTATGCTAAACTGTACCTGTGGATAACCCTTAAATTTACTTTAATGTACCTACTTTTTTTGTCAAATTTCTTATACAATGTATTTTTTTATACTTTCCTACAATGTACCTGTAAACATTTTTTTTAATATTGCTAGAAATTACATTCTTAAAATTATATACAGTATTAGATTAAGGATCTGCCCGAAACGCTATGCATGCTAGTGGCTTTACAAGAATGTAAAACTTCAAGTCTCTGTACTCTCAAACACAACGTACCTTCTTGTAAATAAATAAAAATAAAAAATAAAAATTTAAATTAAAAATAAAAATAAATAAAAATTTCAATAAAATAAATACAACTAAAATATAAATAAAAACAAATAACCCAGAGTTAGTGGAAGCTGACTGGGCTCCAGTGCCTTAATTCACTAAGCAGTATCTGGATATAGTCGGTAAGAATTTAGTAAACTGCATTCTAGCAATAGTGTACAGCTCAAGAGTGGAGAATACTTTGCCTACATTCTTTTTTTTTTTAATGCTTGTGCCCTCCAGTTAGTTCAAGTGTCACAAGACTAACCAACACCTTGTTCATACAAACTCATGAGTGCCGTTGGCAATGTATGGCCTGACCACTTCAGTAAAATCGAGGGAGAAGTGCAGTCGGCCATTACAACTTGGCTCCTGGAGCCAAATAACTTCCCAGTACTGTATGCTAGATTAATTGTGCGACAAATACCATATATTGATATCTGAATGTTCCTTCAAATAATGTGCACCATTATTAATTATACATACAGCAATAAAGGTATTAATGCACTTATAAGAAGTGAAGCCACCTTTATTGGAATGTCATCATAATACTACATTAAAAGTATGTAATAATTAGAAAAAAATCATAAGGAGTCAAAATGAACTAGTAATGAAAAATGTTAAACTAATTTTATTAAGATATAGCATTACATACAAAAACAATAATTTATAGTCACACTAAGCCACAAAAGTCAAAGTACCTTTTTCAAAGTTTTCCACATTTTATGCCAGAATAGTTTATTAATATCAATAGAATTCTTCATCAGTAGTGTCAACAGAAATACTAATTGGGAAAGGAAGTAATTATCTTCTACCTTATGACAGCATTTACAACATAATCAAATTATGTACATCATTACTTGTACCACAGTCAATGTTAATATTTTGCCAAAAAATATTATAAAAAATTGGGAATAGCGAGCTAAATGTCGGTACCACTTTGCCTCACAATACACGGTAACTTGTTTAAATTAATACGTTATACAAATATAACTATAACATGTTTCCTTATTTACAGATCTCTCACACAGCCAAAACTATATTCTTCAGCTTAAAATAATTATAATCAAAAAGGTATCTTCCACATTCTTTACAGTTCACAAAATGTTTCTTTAAATAAAAAGCTAAGCCGAGAACACCTTGCACTCTTACAATTTAGTGGTTTCATGGTTCTCAAACCAAGAGTGATGAACGCGAGCAGTTTTTCTAACCATTCATGATATAATACATACAGTACAGCGAGGCCTTTCCAGTAAGTGCACGTTGTACAGCAACAGTTGATGCAACTGATCCTCCCGTTACTGGCCTCGTATGATCACTAACTGCTACACCACTTTCAACGTTGAACGAAACTTGGCAAGACCAATGACCTTTTCAGGATCACTTGCACGAAAATGTCTACCAACTCAATTTAATGCATATACTGTACTGTAAATCTGAACATAATAAAAAGAAGACTATAGGACAAAAAAACTGCGCCATGTGTATAGTCATAGTGTCAGATCTAGCCACTCATTGCTACCAATTGATATGGACGAGATATTTCTAAAGTCTAGCACAAGCTATTACTGTATATAACATATATATTATATAACAAATATATAATATATATACTATATAATATATGTACTGTATATAACATACATATACTGTAAAAAAGAAAAAAAAATTGTCCTCTGTCAAAATACATGTCACTACTACTCAGGCAGTGAAAATTTATGAATACATTTACGGATCTTAATTGCCTCATTAATTAATGCATTTATTTATGAAACTGAAGGAATCAAAGTCTAATAGTTGTTTAACGAGAGATAGTAGACCAAAAATTATATTAAATATTGGCGAGTACAATGTGCGTGAAACATGGTTTGTAAGTATTTGGGGGTAAGGATTTCAGGACAAATTAAGAGACACCTAGATAACTGGGAATTGGTGTACTGTAAACCATTCTCTTATTTGTTAAGGAACCATTTGAAAGAGTAGCTTGGCTGTTGATAAAAACCATATGCAAATGTTTACAGCAGTGGTTTAAATCAATTATTTTGAATTCTCTACCGTACACAATGAAGAAGTCAGAATTAGGTAGCGGAGGCATAACTGCATTATTTTGTATGAAACTACATTATCCATTCTAAAGATGGCAGCATAAAAATAGAATGGCATCACAAAATATTTAATCTGTAGCTGACATCTTTGTTCATCTTTAGGAGTAAAGTACTCCTAGCTGCTCTTAAGAAGTTGGTAGTTCAATAGGAAGCTTGATTTGCCTTCTTTTCAGCAAAGAAGTTCTTCAGAACCATTACTTGACCCACGGCAATAACCAGAATGCCCAGAGTTTCCCCAACAGCCCAGAAGAGAACACGCTCATTGAGATCTTCTGCCCTTTTGCGACTCTGCGCTTCACGCAAGCGGTGATGAGTCTGGTAATCTATCACCGAATTGAGGTCCTCGTGAATCTTTTGTGAGGAAGACTCCATCTGTTTGAGAGATGTAAATTTGACATTGTATTAGGGCAAAATAAAAAAGTAAGAACCTAATTAAAATTAGAGTCATGTAAAATCTAATTACAAATTTTAAGATCAATGCAGACTAGCATACTCAAATGCATCAACTACAGTACTTTTCAAACTTAAAAATATATAAACACATGACATTCTATTTTTTATGCTAACAAAGTTAGAATAACAATTGTGTGGGTGTACATATTATATGCCTTAATTTCTTTTTATTGAAATGAGAAACTTGACAAAACTGCTAGATATTTTTCATCTTTTTCCATTCTCCATTAGGTACAATTACTTTGACAAATTTAGATAAAGACCTGTAATTCATCAGTTTGTTTTGCAGGAAGCATATAGCAATTTTACTAGTAAGGCATAATGCAATAGGATAAACAGGATTCTTTGTGGCCTTCCAACAAATGTAGTTTTCCGGCAAGGATGAGGTAGAGCATACCACAGAGAATTGGTACAAAACGAAATACAAGGAAAAATATACTGTAATATTACATTTTTTTTTGTGGAGAAAATGCACAGTAGAAAGCTAGACACCTGGAAAATAAATCCTGTATGTAAAGTAGATTAGCAATAGTCTAATTACTGTTCTATAAAAAAAACAAAAATCTAAACTTACTTGAGTCATAGCAGTAAAATGTTCTCCCACACCAGGCAACTGAGGCTCATCTCCAACTTGGAAATCTACATATATGAGCTTGTGGCTAAACGTTGAAAATTCATTACTGAAGCAAACCTGTAAAATCGGATTATTAAATTGGTAATAAGCAAAATTCACAATAAGGCCAAGCTGCTATCAAAGATACATTAGGTAACAAATGCTATTATTAATATCAGCCTGTCTGTATACCAAGGTCAGATTCTAATAATTTATTGATTTAAGTGACAAGAGAAAATTTAAAGAATTTATAGTACAAAAAGATCTATTCCAAAAAGAAAGAACAAGAACTTTTGATTTAATAATTGTGCCTTGCTAGCACAGCCTCTAATGCAAATGCCAGATCTATGTCAATACTGTAAGTCTTCAAGCCATTCAAATTTGTGAAGGGCTAATCCCTAAATTTTATCCCTAAAATGCATCATTAAAACATGTGGATCTAATGAGTTTTTTCCCTTTGTAACATTTCTTTGCCATGTTTTACTGCAAAATGGAAAATCCTTTTGCATCTAAGCCTCTAATTATGGTTAGGTGCACAGGGGTATACAGGGTGAAGAAACTGCTGAAGTCTCTCTCCTTGCCTAGGATTTGAAACCAGGTTCTCTTGCAAGTAAGTTTGCTAAGTACAACATCAAAGTGTAACTTAATGGCCACATTTAAACCTTGATATGCTGCTATGTAGCTACCTCCAAAGAAAATTTTAATACTGTAAATATAAAATTAAGCAATACTATTTCATTTAGAGCTTCAGTGTCAAGTTCACAATGTCAGTTGGCAATGGATTGGTTAATAATGGAATAAAATAACAAATTAAGTAAAATAAATACTAACATACCTGGTATGTGCCAGATATCTCTGGAGTAAATTGGAACTGGCCATATTGCTGTTTAATTTCACGGTATAGGATCTGCCGTGAAGGCCCCTCCAAAACAACATCTACATCGTAGTGCCCACCTGTCACTACCTGTTGTAATAATCTGGTATTAGTTATACATACCAGCTGATGAAGATAAAAGACCCTTTAAGTACCCTGTATATGTATTACACAAACTCGTTCCCAAGCCCCCAACCCCCCTCCCAACCACATCTCCCTCCCCTCTTAATTTTACACAGGTGAATGGCGAGAGCATCAGAACTCTACAGAAAACACAACTTCTCATTTTATTTCAGACAATTAAATTTGCAGGGAGGAGCCCCTCATCGTGACATTTCTCAACATATGGGACTTGGGCCGAGCCTGACTGGCCCACAACTCTCTTAACACACCAATGTTTCATGGGTGAACGTTAGGTGAAGCTCACCCAGAGAGTTTTGCCTTTTACTTCAGACATTATGGATAAACACCAGTCCCATTTATCTTTTTTCACCACCATTATAAAGGCTATGATTATATTCAAGTTACTCTTCCTTTAAAATTTATATGTACACATTGTAGGATACTAGACATTTAGTACCATATTATATATATGAGACTAATTTCTGGCTATTTCCAAACCATTGGGAAAATCAAGTGGCACAGGAAAAAGATGCATCCAAATTGCAACTGCAAATATAACCAATTATAGTTTTATGCTTGACAAAAAAAAAGCTAAAATTAGTTAAATACATCAAAGAGGATATTAATGCAAATAAAATTTTAGACAAAAACATTTGCTTTAAATTAATACATGTACAGTACTTTAAACACTAATGTTCAATTTTAAGGAACACACAGCATTTCACAAATGGCATCAAGGTTAACAGTGATAATGGATGCAGTTTCATCCCCCTTGGGCAAGGCTGGTGGTGTGTGTGATCATGTCATCTGCTCAAGTGGCATATAGCAAGTTATGAAGATGTCCCCCCTGCCACTACATAGAAGACATGAGGATATAAACAGGATTCTGCCTACCTTAACTACTCATATACGAGGTACATTTAAATCTCACTACTTCAGTATTGTACAACACAAGATCCGATACCTGCCCATGTTTAGCCTACAAGAAGCAAGCAATCCATCAAGGTGCCCTGAACTGTGGTTATTGTTAGGTGAAGACAAAATATTGTGTAGCACTGGACAATATTATACCTGAGTATAATAAGCCTCAGTCAGGTTTATACCTGACTGAGCAGCAAATGGATGGACTGGACCTGTCCATCCATCTGGACTGTCTTGACACCAAGAAGAGGTGGTCAACTTGTCCCTACAGTCAACAGTCTTGCCAGATTCCACAGAACCAACAAACTATGCCATATTATTACAGTATTTTCCCTACAACATTAATATTAAATCCATCAGTTAAATTGCATAAAACACCCACCCATTCTTCAGAAACTTATCTTCAATTTTTGTGATCCAACTGTAGGGAGTCATTAGACCAATAGTGTATATATATATACAGCAGGGCAAACCAACCCTTCATGTGGTTGAAGCAGGCAGCAGGGCAAAAAATAAATAAATAAAAAAAAAACAGTACTGTATTGGAAAAACAAAAACTATGAATTAGATATTGTACCAAACTAATTTAGACAGTTGTCCAGCTGTCTGGTATATTTGACATCAACTTTAAATAAAACAACAACGTACCACGTTCGCTGGGTTTCCAAACAGGTGTGGCTGAAAAGCACAGCTTCTGCCATGAAAAATAGAAAAGGAACCGACCACAGACACGACCTCCCAGACGGACCACAATGTCAACTACAATAAACCTAACATCTTAAAAGAAACAAACCCCGAGCATCCCACCTGGAACTCGAGCGTCGACTCGGTTCCCTTCTCAATTTCCTCGTAAAAGCACTCCTTGGCATTATCAGGGAGTTCAAACGTTAGTTCGACCCCGGCGGCGATGGCCAGCCAGCTCGCTGCCACCACCACAGCTAGCCACACTCTCTCCATGTTGTGTGTCTCGCGGGCGCCCTCCTCACTTCACAGGCATCAGCTGCACATAGTTAAGTCTCTCTCGGCCTGATAAATCCGCCAGATAACAAGCCGCCACCGTTCTTCTCCACTTTGACAGGCACACCGCGTCTTCTGCTAAAATACGTGGCCGGAAACAAAATACGATGTGCGTTTAGTCGGCCCCGGACAACTCAGGCTCTGATACGGCCGGGAGGTCTTGGCCAATCACGAGGCGCCGACTGCTGTGTTCAGCAGTTGAGAGAGAAAACTCTGATTTATTTTATGTTTGTAAACGTGGCCAGAGTGTACCGTTGGTGCTGCCATCTCTTGGTCGTTCCTGCGCACACTGTCCGATTCCTTTAATTATTGAATATGATAATAATATGAATACATAATTATTATCATTATGAATGAACAGAATGTTGAAAATACAAAACTAAACTGAATATATTTCAGTGAAATGTGTGAAGTTTCAACTGCCTACAAACGCGGTAATTATTTATTTCTTAAATTGACAAGCTTGACAAAATCATAAATAGCAATCGAACACGTAATTATCGCGAGAGTTCAGCAGGTGACGTAGAATTTCCCCCAAGTCAAACAAATACCGAATCCTAAACAGCTGACAATTTTTGTACACACTTCTGATTAAGAGTTTTATTAGGACACTTGCCCATTCATCAACAAACATGTCTAAGTGATCATTTCTGAGAACTCATGACTTTTTTATCTTATTTTACTTAATTATTATGATAGAGGCCCCTGAAAAACCGCAGCGTCTATTTTTAAGATTTGTTTTTAAAGGCATATTATAGCCCCCATTCTCATCCGGTGGGTGGTGGCGAATGGATTATAGTTAACATAATTAATTCGTGAACTGCACTTCAATTTCCTTTAAGCTAAGCAAGTTAATTACAATGACATTGAACTATATTTAGCGTAGCTACATAGGATTTCTACTGTCAATCCTGCGCCCCGCACCAATCCACTCCGGTGAAAGTTCCGTCTCATAAATAACTCAACTTGTCTCTTCTAGACACTTGAGCTGGACGGTAGAGCGATTGTCTAGATTCATGCAGGTCGGCGTTCAATTCCCGACCGTCCAAGATGTTGGGCACCATTCCTCTCCCCCCCCCCCCGTTCCATCCCAAATCCTTATCCTGATCCCTTTTGAAGTGTTATATTGTCTAATGGTTTGGCGCTTTCCCCTGAGAGTTCCCTTTCTTTGAACATTCATTACCAACTTCTAGACAAAATGCAACCTGTGATCCCCCTCCCTCTATTAGGCACTCTCTCTATACAATACAATAAACTCTGAGCACTCTTTTTAGCCATAATATAATATTTTCTCAATTGACCATTGGAATACAGGTATTAGGGTCAGTGCCAAAGCTATGACAAGGTACCATGCACCTCAATTGTGGGGTGACTATCTTACTTGCTAAAGTGATACTGTCGTGCAGTGTAATGTGCATCCTTAATTGATTGGACACAGTACCAACTGCTCGCCCTGGGGCACAACACCACAGCTTGACAAAAATGCAAGACGAAGCCTTGAGGAAAGTTCCTCGGATGGCATGGTGCCCTAATTTAGGCATTATCACCAGACACCGTTATGGTGCTCCAGGCAGGGCTTAAACCTCAAATCAAGTAGCACTTTGGTCTCAGAATGTACCCTTCACATTGCGAGTGTCTGTCCTTATTGATAGAATAACTGCTTCACATTTCTCAGGCTCAAGTTTAATCTCTAAGATCAAGCTTAATTATTACTCATAATATTTAGGTTTTTGTATATTCTTTTATACAAGTATAATATATAGTCGTTATAATTGGGTGTGTGCCGCAAGACTATATTGCTGATTAGATTTTAATAGTAAATTACAACAGTTTATCTGCATCGCACAGGGGGACGTCGACCTATGCTCTTGCAAGGGGTCATGATCAACTTTAATTCTTACCGGTTCTCCAGTAAGGCATCATTGCAGATAAGTACTTGGCACCCGTTAGCTCTGAGGATATGATCATGAAGACTTTACTAAAATGAGGCTTCCCCTCAGGAGCTAATTCCATGGAATTAACCATTAGTGAATAGTTAACTGAACTATTCACCAAATTAACTATTAGTGAATAGTTAACTGAACTATTCACTAATATCATTGAACATGCAAAGGATGGTTTCAGTGGTGGGATTTGACCGGTTTGTCCGAATAGGTTTCAAAACTTGCACGAGTTAGGGAAACCGGTCCTTAATGTAATCAACAGTGCATGTCGGAATAGAGTCGAGGTCGGCGTCTGTCTTTACTTAGTTTTGTTCCAAAAATATAAAGCAGCAGCTACTTTAAGACAAGGTACAGACCAAAAACGTCATTACATGACTGTCCATAATACCCCTGCTGACCCCCCTAATTTCTGCTCTAGAAACATTTACTAATGTAAATGTATAGACAAGTAAGTGCATTAATTTGCAAACAATTTGAAAGTCCAGAAGCGTGTATGCATTACTAAAGTACACTCACAAACTGGTAGTGTGCGCAGTGGCTTTCACAACTAAAATGCAAGAGTCAATAATTAGGCACCCACATTAAAAGTTCAACTGTTAGGCATTCTTGACGCGCCCCTAAGGCTTTCCCCAAGAGATGTTTTTGTTTATATAGTACTTAATAAAAGTGTCTGAAATTCTAGAGGATCATATAGAGAAAAACGAGCATGATAAAAGTTGGTACCCTTGTCAAGATCATTTACTGAAATTTTCGTAGTGCCCAGTGGGCACAATATTCAGGAGCAACGCCAATTCAATGTCGAATCAACGTCAACGTTGAATTAACGTTGATCCAACGCCTTCATTGGATTTAGTACCAAACCCACTAGGCTTCTACAGGGAAGTAGAAATAGCCTACGCTACTCTATCCCTTTGAGATGTATTTATCTCAAACATACTTGAACTTTAACCCACTAGGCTTATTGAATATTCACTTTCATCTTCGTTTGAGTTTTGTATATCTCTAGTTAGAAAAAATCAGATAAAACCTATATAAATCTAGACAAACCTTTGATTCTGTAAAGTTATTACCTCTTGCTTCCGGACCTTCCTTTGGGTTTGGTTGAACGCACGTGGTTCTAAATACATTCTTTCCCTCACTGGCCAGGATACAGCAGTGCGCTTTCAATATGACCTTGATAGTCATGAAGCAGGCCACCACTTCCATGGTTGGGGCGCTGTTGTGAAGTGATCGAGTGCCTTTGTCGCATACACGAAGGATTACTTTATGGTAAGCAACAGCCGTGACGGGACATTCGAAACTCTAATCCTTACCGAATGGCGAATGCTTGGTGGTTAATTTACCTCGTTAATAACAGACTGTATAACAGCTTATTACAGCAGTGTTGTCAGGTAACGACACTAGTACACCCGTTAGACACTACCAGGAGCGAGTGCTCCAGCCTATCACTTCTCTTAAACATTTTAACAATGAACCGCACCATTTATGTAGTGGGGTATACATGTATTCTTTTATTTGTAGTGTGTGGGGTCACCTAAAATATTTACCATTCGTGACTAAACCACCCACCAGAAGACGAATTAACTACAACGTTTCGGTCAGTCTTGGGACATTATCAAGTCGATTGTAAATTATCAAGCACAATCTACTTTATAATGAGCTGTGTGCATTATAAAGTCCTGAACGGACCGAAACGCAGTTTCTTCGTCTTCCGGTGTGTGGTTTGGTCACACCTTCAGCCACGTTGTTAATGTCTGCATTTTACCCTCCGTATACCAGTTTGGAATATTACACAAAGGAACAACAATTAAGGTCATTAACAAAATTTGTCTCTAAAGGATTCATTGATTTATTGCTTTTAAATTAGTTCATCAGATAATTGAAAATATATACAACACAATTAAAAATTTGTACATTGCTATTATTTACAGAGCCAAACAAAAATATAAAGTGGACTATACTAATAAGAGACTTACATTAACATCATGCGAGGACCTTACGGAGCCTAGCGCGGTCGACGATTTATTTTTAACCACATTACCCACAGCTACCAAAGGACTATTTTGATAAATGCAGCAATATTTGTTCATTATACAAGTTTATATATTCTGAAGAGCAATAACATTTAAATACGGATCACAATAAGGTCCAACCTTCTTTCAACTTTTTTAAAATGCTTGTACATTTTAACGGGAACATTTTTTAATAGTTTTCATAATTTAGAAATTTGGCCGGTTTGTCCACATTTGGAATGGTTTTACCCCTCAACTGATTTACGTTTCCTGCCTGGTGCCTCACTTGCCCAGGTGGCGGGTGATCAGGTTCACCACCCGGAGGAGGATTTCTGCGATTTCGTCGTAGACGTCTTCCTCCAGGGAACGCCGGCCCAGCGCGTGCCCCGTCACCACGAACATGGAATTGTCCAGCAGTGAAACAGTGTTCTCCAACAGTGACCTTGTAACCTGTGGTGTATCAAAAACAAGCCCAGGTCATTGCAAAGCATCAGAGAAGTTTCGAACACCCAAAGTTCAAAAAGTCTGGATTATTCAAGGTTAAGGTTAGAAAAAGATATACAAAGGTCTCTCCACCAGCCTACAGTGACTAGAACATTTACGGAGGGTATGATTAGGGACCATTTACTTTCAAGAGCACACAGCGCATCCACAAGTGCTCTAGCCAACCAACATTCAGAGTCACGTCTGTTCCGGATCACACGTCAGTTGTATAAACTAGAACAGATTCCCAGAGCCTCGCCCTTGCATTCTGGAATGTTCCTCCTACACACCTGGACAGATTGCTTTTGGATTAATTTTGTAGTTTCACACTAATATATTTATCCACATCCTGTCTCTTGTTCAGGCAGGAACCACTACAAGCTCCCCCTAAACTGTCACAGTGCCGCCTAAATAATTACAGTAGTCCCTACCACCAAAATCCCTAAGCGAAACTACTCCCTCGCCAATTATCTGCACACTACAATCCAACTATTTTCCCCTCTCTACGCGCACAGGCAAACTAATTAACCTTCTCTCCAACCAAGCTAACATCGCGCTATCTTCCCTTTCAACGTGCACACCAACTTATTCTTCGCCAATGCAGACAGACAACGTGGCTTAAGTAATTATCAAAAGACGACACCAAGCCGGGAAGGCTACGTAGCATAACGTGGTTCATAACATATGACCAAACCACATCAAAATACGTTTCCGTTAGTCCAGGACCGAAATTATCACATGCAACTTAATAATGGTCAAGGACGGACCGAAACGTCGTTTCTTCATCTTCTGATGTGTGCTTTGGTCATAGTCACGAAATGATTTCCAACTGTACACTATGGACCAAACTATTCCCCTACCCAGATACTGGGAGGGAAGCGACCACACGTGCGCCAAGACTCGACACCGACCTGGAAGACGAGGGGGAGGGCGACAGCAGCCGTGCCCATAGCCGCTGCTAGAGCCGGGTTTTCTGCGATCCTGGAGTTGGCGACAGCCGACCTGAGCGTGTCTAAGGTGTCGCCCAAGTGCAGGGGATAGTTCTCAAAGAAGCTGACGTACGGGTCCAACACCGTTCTTATTAAATCTGACATTTTGTTCATTAGCTCGGACCAAGTGTCTTTTTGTCCAATCTGAAAAAAAATAAACAGTACCATTTAGAAAGATCATGGCTTTGTCAATTTTAGAACGGTGTAAATTACTTAAGTGGGGGAAGGGCTGTTTTAGGGAGAGGATGAGATGGGCATTTTTTTTATACATGTTCATTCCATATAGAAGAGGCACCGTATGCCGTAATAATGTATTAGTGATCATTACTCTTGCTCTCGACGAATTCGCCTCATTTTGTAAACCAGAGTCCGCAACGTACAAAGTATCATGAAAAGTAGCGGCTCAAGAAAGTTGTCTAATCATCCATGTTAAGTGGGTTGCTTGGGTTAGTATGTCAATGTCTGTATAATACCTTGTGGCAAGTTGAGAGAACGGCCTGCACCCCCACCAAGTTTACTCACATTTCTTTGCTCTGTGACAACTGGCGGTGCCGTCTGACCCTCACCACTGTCCTTATTTACGGCGGCGTAGCTAGGGCCGGGCACTTTGGTACTGGCCGTGTTGGAGGCTGGTGGGTACCCACGACTCAACCGCTGCATGTACGCCGCTGCACCACCAGCTGCCCCACGGGTCTCCGCGCCCCTGCGAAGACGCCGACGCTCATTGTCATCCAAAGTGTACTACTAGGATTATTAAGGCTATTTAGGATGCACCCCCCCCCCCACGCGTCTAAGACATTAGAAGGCATCATGCCACTAAAAATGAGCTGGTGCAAGCCGGGGTCGTGGAGGGGGAGGAGTGGAACGTGCGAAGTCAGAGGAGAGGGGGGGAGGGGAACGTGCAAGTCATGGAAGGGTGGGTGGGGGGGGGGTAAAGGGGGACCTACAACACGAGTCATTTTAATTACCAGAAACCCATTAGAAGGTGTCCCGGTGAAATGTTTTAAACAATGCGAGGCTTACCTGACGAGGGGTACGGGAAACGTGACGAGCACCAGCAGGAAATACAGAGGAAGGATCTCCTGCCTCATGGTGAAGGCTCGCCAGGGGACAGTACTGTAACCAGCTGGGGTGAATTGCCTCGACTGAGTGCGAAGTGTCAAGTGTTCCTGGCACTGGTGCCCTCGGCACTCGTCCTGTCCTCCTGGGAACCGCCCTCGCAGCACTGCACCGCTTCTCACTTCAGAGGTAATCTGAACTAGCAGTGTTGAGGTTTGCCGATTGTTATAGCAAAGCCAACAAAAGTACTTCCAACTCGTTACTTTTGTTGTTGCAGTAGCGGCGACTACCAGAATAGAGTAATTGGTGTGGGAGAGAGGATTATTGTCTAGGACACAATGTCCACCTGCCTCGACGTCCGTAGACACGCACAGCTGCCGCACAACTGACCTGTACCTTCTCTCTCTACATCCAGATGGTTCGAATGTTTGATACATACAGTTCGAGTTTCCCCAAAGAGTCCAATGTATCATGAATCCTGAAGCTCTAGATGCATTAACGACAATAAATATTAACTGTCTTTCAGTTTGTAAAATATCAAATAATCTAAACAAATGATTTAATTTGTACTTCCAAACTTAGGAAAAGTTGATTCTTTCTTAAAAGCAAATGAGTGGACTGGAAAAACAAAGGAATTGACAGGAGCATAAGATATATATTACAACCCATCCTCCTCCCTGATATAATCCTCCAAATAATGATTATCGCCCTGGTTAATAAATCAGTATATGCAACCCGTTCACACACACTAGGCTGTTTACAGCAGCGCCGTCCTCCCCAGATATATTCATCAATTTTAACATACTGTGCATTAAAAATTGGTTTGTTCTTATATATAAATTAATATTATTATGCATAAAAATTCTATGTATAGTTAGGCGTAGGTTAGGTTAGGTGTTTAGGTTCTGTTGGCGATAATTTGTATTTTAAGTACGCATTTATAGAATTGTCGTTCGAACAGAAGACGTGAGTGAAGCACTTGTTCTGGAAGTGTTCAGACGTCATCAGTTGTGAGCCTTGTGTAAACCAATTTTCATTCATAAACACCTAAGGCGTCACTAGCCTAGTACACCTAGGGTGTCACTAGCCTAGCACACGTAGGGTGTCACTAGCCTAGTACACCTAGGGCGTTACTAGCCTAGTACACCTAGGAAGTCACTAGTCTAGCACACCTAGGGCGTCACTAGGTGTCACTGGCACACGCACAAGGGGACACAGGTGGAAACTGAGTGCCCAAATGAGCCACAGAGATATTAGAAAGAACTTTTTTAGTGTCAGAGTGGTTGACAAATGGAATGCATTAGGAAGCAATGTGGTGGAGGCTGACTCCATACACAGTTTCAAGTGTAGATATGATAGAGCCCAATAGGCTCAGGAACCTGTACACCTGTTGATTGACGGTTGAGAGGCGGGACCAAAGAGCCAGAGCTCAACCCCCGCAAGCACAACTAGGGCGTCACTAGCCTAGCACATCTGGGGCGTCACTAGCCTAACACACGTAGGGCGTCACTAGCCTAGTACACCTAGGGCGTTACTAGCCTCGTTCACCTAGGGCGTCACTAGCCTAACACACGTAGGGCGTCGCTAGCCTAGTACGCCTAGGAAGTCACTAGCCTAGCACACCTAGAGCGTTACTAGCCTAGCACACCTAGGGCGTCACTAGCCTAGTACACCTAGGGCGTCACTAGCCTAATACGCCTAGGAAGTCACTAGCCTAGTACACCTAGGGCGTCACTAGCCTAGTACACCTAGGGAGTCACTAGCCTAGTACACCTAGGGAGTCACTAGCCTAGCACACCTAGGGAGTCACTAGCCTAGTACACCTAGGGAGTCACTAGCCTAGTACACCTAGGGAGTCACTAGCCTAGTACACCTAGGGAGTCACTAGCCTAGCACACCTAGGAAGGAGGTAAAGAAGCAAAATACCAGTTTAATATTAGAAAAAAAGTATAACAAAAATGTACACAGATACAAATCAATGAAGAAACCAAATTCAGCACGAATTAAAACTTAATGAGGATACGCTAAACAATGCACTATAGTCTTATAAAGTGGTCCACTACGTCAATCTGACTAGCCAAACCTTACGAATCTAAACAGTTAGTTTTCCTTCCGTAGAACGTGGAGGTTGATGTATTAGGAAAGTTTAAACACTGCTTCAGAAAATCTTGCGAATTTTGCACATTGGACGTAATTCAATTCACATGAGAGAGGACGGGAGCAGATTACCCGCTGCCAAGTCCGGGCTCCAGTCTCCGGAGTTTACTGTGATCACAGACGAGTCTGGCTTGGGATGAAAAAAAGAAGAGAGAATTTAATGTTGAGACTCCTTATAACCTTTATTTCAGAGAAGGAATTTCTTTCACGACGTCCACTATATCGTAATACAGGTCTCATAAGTTAATAATACACGAGTGGTATCGTGGGACGTGAATACATATCTGATAAGTGTAGACGCCTCACGGATGAGGTAGTGAAGGGTACTGGGGTGAAGTGCCATGGTTAGTTAAGGTGCTGGAGTGAGGGGTGGTGCTGGGGTGAGGGGTGGTGCTGGGGTGAGGGGTGGTGCTGGGGTGAGGGGAGATGCTGGGGTTAGGGGTCGTGCTGGTGTGAGGGGTCGTGCTGAGGTGAGGGGAGGTGCTGGGGTAAGGGGAAGTGCTGGGGTGAGGGGTCGTGCTGGGGTGAGGGGTGGTGCTGGGGTGAGGGGTCGTGCTGGGGTGAGGGGAAGTCCCAGGGTTAGTTGAGTTGCTGGCATAAGGATATGAAGAAAGAGGGTCATGGGGAAGGACGTAAAGAAGGAAATTTCAAGAGAAGAAAGGATAATGAGTTGTGTGGGTAGCGAGTTAAGAGGTCATTGTGAGGAGAGCAGAGAGAAGCTAGAAATAAATTATTAGGCTTGGGAAGGATAAAGGGAAGAGAGTAAAGTATGAATATGTGGAGCAAAAACTGAGAGAATAGGAAACTGAAGCCACAGCAAGAGAAAAAGAGAAACAGTAGAAGGGGTAAGAAGAGAATATGGGACCATATAGAGAATTTGAGAGAACATGAGCTTGTGTCTCAGTGTCCCGTTGTGAGAGAGCACTTCGAGGTGGGTGGAGCTAGTAGGCGTGTCCAGGACGATGCCTGATTTTGATTAGTCGCTGAAGGAAGCCGGGGCGGGGCCGAAATGCACCGGCATGACCCGTGATTGGCCGGATCCTTTCATGCAGGCCTGAGAGTGGCAGTGGAGACAACGGGTGCTGGCTCTGAGGTGGAAATTAAGAAGTGGGCGGGACAGGGCGAGGCGGGGCGGGTCCAGCAGCACTACCACCAACTCCACCAGTGTCATAGTGGACGTCTATCCTCTGCCACCTGTGGATGGGACAGTGCGACTCCAGTTTCTCTCTCTTGCTTGCGCTGTGGAACGTGGTGGCCCTGCTGGTCTCCTACCACGCTCCTCTGGCGCCTTGCCACGCCCCCCACGCCTGCACGCCCACGTTACACCCCTGTTCCCGCTGCCCCTAGTCCCAATCCAGGGGGCATTGCCCCCCTTACTTTCCCAGGGGGGGAATTGCGGCGGGCTAACTAGGTGAAGGTCCCAGGGCAGTTGGTGGTGGGCGTGCAGGCGTGAGACGATGGGCGTGGAAGGTCTGGTGCAGCCGCGTGTCACCACTGGTCAATGGGGCTCCTGCCACCCCGTCCTCCCTCACACTTGAGTGTCCCCGACCTGCCGCAGGTTAGTCCCCTCACATGTGTGTGTGTCCTCCAGGTTAGTCCCCTCACAGGTATGTGTGTCCTCCAGGTTAGTCCCCTCACATGTGTGTGTCCTCCAGGTTAGTCCCCTCACATGTGTGTGTCCTCCAGGTTAGTCCCTCTCACATGTGTGTGTGTCCTCCAGGTTAGTCCCCTCACATGTGTGTGTGTCCTCCAGGTTAGTCCCCTCACATGTGTGTGTGTCCTCCAGGTTAGTCCCCTCACATGTGTGTGTGTCCTACAGGTTAGTCCCCTCACATGTGTGTGTGTCCTCCAGGTTAGTCCCCTCACATGTGTGTGTCCTCCAGGTTAGTCCCCTCACATGTGTGTGTCCTCCAGGTTAGTCCCCCTCACATGTGTGTGTTCTCCAGGTTAGTCCCCTCACATGTGTGTGTCCTCCAGGTTAGTCCCCTCACATGTGTGTCCTCCAGGTTAGTCCCCCTCACATGTGTGTGTCCTCCAGGTTAGTCCCCTCACACTTGAGTGTCCCCCAGATTAGTCCTCTCACACCCGAGTGTCCTCTAGATTAGTCCCCTCACACCCGAGTGTCCCCCAAATTAGTCCCCTCACACCCGAGTGTCCCCCAGATTAGTCCCTCACACCTGAGTGTCCAACAGATTAGTCCCTCACACTTGAGTGTCCCCCAGATTAGTCCCCTCACACCTGAGTGTCCCCCAGATTAGTCCCTCACATCTGAGTGTCCCCCAGATTAGTCCCCTCACACCTGAGTGTCCCCCAGATTAGTCCCTCACACCTGAGTGTCCCCCAGATTAATCCCCTTACACCTGAGTGTCCCCCTGATTAGTCCCTCACATGAGTGTCCCCCAGATTAGTCCCCTCACACCTGAGTGTCCCCCAGATTAGTCCCATCACACCTGAGTGTCCCCCAGATTAATCCCCTTACACCTGAGTGTCCCCCTGATTAGTCCCTCACATCTGAGTGTCCCCCAGATTAGTCCCCTCACACCTGAGTGTCCCCCAGATTAGTCCCATCACACCTGAGTGTCCCCCAGATTAATCCCCTTACACCTGAGTGTCCCCCTGATTAGTCCCTCACATCTGAGTGTCCCCCAGATTAGTCCCCTCACATCTGAGTGTCCCTCAGATTAGTCCCCTCACACCTGAGTGTCCCCCAGATTAATCCCCTTACACCTGAGTGTCCCCCAGATTAGTCCTCTCACATCTGAGTGTCCCCCAGATTAGTCCCCTAACATCTGAGTGTCTCCCAGATTAGTCCCCTCACACCCGAGTGTCCCCCAAATTAGTCCCCTCACACCCGAGTGTCCCCCAGATTAGTCCCTCACACCTGAGTGTCCAACAGATTAGTCCCTCACACTTGAGTGTCCCCCAGATTAGTCCCCTCACACCTGAGTGTCCCCCAGATTAGTCCCTCACATCTGAGTGTCCCCCAGATTAGTCCCCTCACACCTGAGTGTCCCCCAGATTAGTCCCTCACACCTGAGTGTCCCCCAGATTAATCCCCTTACACCTGAGTGTCCCCCTGATTAGTCCCTCACATGAGTGTCCCCCAGATTAGTCCCCTCACACCTGAGTGTCCCCCAGATTAGTCCCATCACACCTGAGTGTCCCCCAGATTAATCCCCTTACACCTGAGTGTCCCCCTGATTAGTCCCTCACATCTGAGTGTCCCCCAGATTAGTCCCCTCACACCTGAGTGTCCCCCAGATTAGTCCCATCACACCTGAGTGTCCCCCAGATTATTCCCCTTACACCTGAGTGTCCCCCTGATTAGTCCCTCACATCTGAGTGTCCCCCAGATTAGTCCCCTCACATCTGAGTGTCCCTCAGATTAGTCCCCTCACACCTGAGTGTCCCCCAGATTAATCCCCTTACACCTGAGTGTCCCCCAGATTAGTCCTCTCACATCTGAGTGTCCCCCAGATTAGTCCCCTAACATCTGAGTGTCCCCCAGATTAGTCCCCTCACACCTGAGTGTCCACCAGATTAGTCCCCTCACACCTGAGTGTCCCCCAGATTAGTCCCCTCACACCTGAGTGTCCCCCAGATTAGTCCCCTCACCTGAGTGTCCCCCAGATCAGTCCCCTCACATCTGAATGTTGTGGTTGATGGTGACACACAGCCTCCCCGACTTGGTGCCTTCTTTTGATAATTACTTTCTTCCCTTCTGGGTTGCATCTTGTAGTTGAAGCGCGAGAAATTGAAACGTACGCAAGCAATCGGCGAAGAGAGAGAGAGAGAGAGAGAGAGAGAGAGAGAGAGAGAGAGAGAGAGAGAGAGAGAGAGAGAGAGAGAGAGAGAGAGAGAGAGAGAGAGAGACCGTGTGTATCAAGGCAGGTAAATATTTTATTTATAAATGTTGATGTGGATGGAGAGATGGCGGTGATAAAGCTGCCAGCGGTGCTCAATGTGAAGCTCGTAATGAAGAGAGGAGGAGGAGGAGGATGAAGAAAGATTGGAGGAATAGGAGAAGGAGAAAGATGAGAAAAAAAGGGAAAATGAAAGGCGAAGTGTAGAGAAAAAACTGAGAACTCTGAAGAAGTGGGGATAGAGAAGGACTATTATTAGTAGTACTAGTGAGAGGGGAGGGGGGGTGCAGGTCTGGTAGTGGGAGGAGGGGGGGGGGGTACAGGACCGAAGCTGTGGTGTTACAGGATACTGTACTACAAGGTAGGGTACAGTAGGCAGAGAGGTGGACGGGGTGATGCATGCCAACGTGGGTGTGATACAGCACACATGGAGAGCGATACAGCACACACGGGGAGCGATACACCACACATGGTGAGCGGTACAGCAGCGAGGGGGTGTGGGTGCTACCCCTAGGAGTGAGTACTAGGGAGTGAGGTCCCCCGTGTCTCCTGTACCCTGGTGTACCACCCGCGCTTTTTACATGTTTTGACGTTCAAGTTATGTGTCACGTTCCCTCTTAAATTTGTGAATGAAAGAGGCTTCGACCATCGTCGCTTTGAGTGCACTCCACTTGTTGCACTCCCCACCATTGTACCCCCCTCCACTGTGGTGCTACACCTCCCTACACACACACATATTATATATATATATGTATATATATATATATATATATATATATATATATATATATATATATATATATATACATATACATATATACACAGTATATACATATATGTGTGTAAATCACGAAAGTTAACACGTGATGAAAAATGAAGCAGTGTCAGACCACGGAGGAAGAATTGAAACAGGAATTTCCTTAAGTACTTTCGTATTTAATAATACATCTTCAGAAGGGTGAAGATGTAGACCCATCTGAAGATATATTGTTAAATACGAAAGTACTTAAGGAAATTCCTGTTTCAATTCTTCCTCCGTGGTCTGCCAGTGTCATATATATATATATATATATATATATATATATATATATATATATATATATATATATATATATATATATATATATATATATATATATATATATATGCAGAATAACCACATGTGAAAAATAGAAAATGCTTAACGCGTTTTCGGCTAATTCGCCTTCATCAGAGCAAAGTAGAATTCATTCTACTTTGCTCTGATGAAGGCGAATTAGCCGAAAACGCGTTAAGCATTTTCTATTTTTCACATGTGGTTATTCTGCATACTTGGATCAGTGTTTTTGTGATCATATATATATATATATATATATATATATATATATATATATATATATATATATATATATATATATATATATATATATATATATGGGAAAACATAATGTTTTTTTATTTATTTAAAGTGGAAGTATTATGATTAGAATTTTTAAAATTTTGGTGTGATCAGTGCATACAGTTTCCAGTATAGCAATAATAATAATAATAATAATAGCAATAATAATAATAATAATAATAATAATAATAATAATAATAATAATAATAATAATAATTCCGTAGAGTCATATGGTATTGTGATATTTTCGAGGGCGGGGATGAGGAGGAATGGGAGTCACTTCTGTACAGTCTCACTTGGTCCTGTTTCCTTCGACGCCACTCACGAGCTGTCCATGTTGAGCACATACCCAATAGCAACTAATGAGAAAAAAATGGGTGACACTCGCCTCAAGCATCTGGATTCCAACCATTGATTCATATAATGCAATTAAGTTCCTTGCTCTTGCCCCTTTTTGACTACACCACTACTACACTTTTGTTTACCAAACTATTTGGTTTACTGAGCTAGTATCACACTCGATATTTCATAAAGTAAACATCTTTGAATAAAATAATTATCTGACACATGTACATATACAGCATCTCTCTCTCTCTCCCTCTCTCCCTCTCTCTCTCTCTCTCTCTCTCTCTCTCTCTCTCTCTCTCTCTCTCTCTCTCTCTCTCTCTCTCTCTCTCTCTCTCTCTCTCTCTCTCTCTCTCTCTCCCCTTTTATAGCGCATAATAAAACTACACAAAATTATTACAAATAATAATATTAATATAATGGTACATACAAGGTTCACAACATTATATATAACCAAGGATGTAAGTAAGCAAAGCCTCATATACACGTAGGGAAGTTGCAGAAACACAGGATCACCATAGAGCAGAGAAGGGCATGAGTGCCAGGGATGAGACCCTCACAGTGAGAAGAGAAGCACAAAAATTGAAAACGGCAGTGCAGATAATGCAGACCAAACCCAAGTTGCATCACAGATGTATCAAGAGGAAAACAACAGCAAAAGGCCGAGTGATGAAACTGAGGACAGAAGATGACGCATTCACAGAGAATGATAAAGTGAGTGAGAAATCGCAACAGATTTCGAAACGTCGTCACAAGTTTCGAACACTGGTTGACACAAGTACTAAATGTGGACTATCCAACTACAACAAAGTCAGTAACTTGAACATTGTACTCGATGACGGAGCTGGCGAGGACAGAACTCTCAGTGTAAACCGAAGATTATGACTTCTCACGTACTGGTGGGGCCTCTACCGGGGTATGCAGGCGATGAGTCACAATAACGTGGCTGAAGTATGTTGACCAGACCACACA